GTAGTCCTTTAATCAGGTGACGTAATACCGTAATTCCGCAATCGTAGTTGAAAAATAAAACCACTTAAGTCGCTGCCTGTTATATTTGCAAGTTGAATGGCCCAATTCTTAAATTAACTTTATAGTAGTCGGCAATTTGTATTTTGCGTTAGATTTTCTTTACTCGATTGACCTCTTTTATCATAATATAAAGTAATAAAATTTCATTTAGACAGGCAAATTAGTTGACATTGTTAGTTTTTTTCTCAGCATATATCAAGAAGATATATTAACACAATTTAATATGGAATATGGCTCCTCCTTCTAGTAGTTAAATCATTCGAATGGACTGCAGCGATTCTTTTTTGTTTCGCAAAATTAACGGTACTATCGATAAAAAGAAGACCTTTGACTCCAGCCTACTAAAAATTATTGTTTTCTTAAAATAAAATAATTGTTCCTTTGTGTTGGTGTTTTTCATTTTACTGAAGAATTTAAATTACATGAATTTACACTATAAAAAAATGCACTGATTGAAAAAACTACAAATGCGAATTTTTATAATAATTAATAATATATTATATCTTAATAATCATTATATTAATTAATTTAAAATATACTTTTCCAGATACCTTTTGTCATATATTTCTAACGCGAAGCAACATATTTGACCCTGTTTGTGGATTCACAGTAAGCCACGCTTAAAATTAAATTTTTGGCTGAGTATTTGCTTGTACACCTAAAAAAAGTGATTTCAAATGCTACAAAATTCATGTCTCACAAAAATTACTTGCAAGCTATCCCGTTATTGGCTATAAAAGTCACCCGAAATTCCAGCTTTCCTCGAAAATGTGATTTGGACAGATGAAAACACTTTTACGAATTTTGGAATATTTAATCGAAACAATATCTGGAGCATTAACAACCTCAACTTCGAGAAATTGAATGTGGATCGTATTATCAGTTTTTGACGTCAACGCTTGAACACTACTTGGATGATTTACCTTTTATCCACTACCATAGAATGTGATTTCATCAATACAATACAGGTATTTGATTATTTTTCGCCAAGGTTTGGTGACAGATAGATCGAGAATAATGGGCTAGTGAGATGGCCAGCCAGGTCTCCGGATCTCAGTATCTCGGACAAATTTTTATGCGGTACACTTGGACATTTTGAGCATCTTTCTTTTAATTTTACATTCATAATTTTATCTTAGTTTTTGAAACAAAGTGGGATTTCTATCCAATAATTTAAACAAAGTTTGATGAGGTTGTCGTCAGATACATTTCCGATGTCTTGGCACGGAAGAAAGCTTTACCCTATCTCGTTTTTCTTCATTGGTAAAGTCCATTTTTAACGGCACAGTAAATGCACTTGACAGTAAAATGTCGAAAAATTTTATTTGAAAATTCACAGCTTACTATGGTACAGAAGTTTTTGTTCAATATTTCTAATTGGAGGGAACACAAATACAAGGTAATACGGGCTATTCAATACTGCAAAAATCCAATATGGGAAAAATGACAAAAAATAAAGTTGATTATGGTTTGAGTAAAACGAAATGTCGTAAGGGATTTTTTGACCCGGGCATAAGATGAAACCTAAAAAGTTCGAAATGAGAATGTATTTAGAGATTTTGGCAGTGCCAAAATTTCCCGGCCTGAATATGAAAGAAACGAAGTAGAGTAAGAATTTTTTATTATTTTTCAATATAATCTCCCTTAACTTCAATACACTTACATATCTTTATTTACAACTCAATCCCTTTAAAAAAAATTCTTTTGGTTTGTCTGCAAAATGAGCTAAAACAGCCTCGTCGTTAAACCGTAGTCCACGTAAGTCCTTTTTCAAATATCCAAACAAATAATAATCGCAGGGGGCCATATCTGGACTATAGGGAGGATGATCTATCTATTGGAACCCACAATCTAAAATGGCAGCTTGTGCAACACCAGCAGTATGGACAGGTGCATTATCGTGCAAAAGACGCACGCCTCTGGTCAGTTTTCCTCGACGTTTTACACGGATGCAGTCTCGCAATTTATGTAATAATGTTGCGTAATATTTACCATTGACAGTGGTATTAGTTTTTTTAAAATGTATCAAAAGAATTCGTTCACAATCCCAAAAGATCGTGGCCATCACCTTTTTTGTTGACTGGCAGACTCTGAATTTTCTTGGAGGTGTTTCACCCTTACGACGCCACTTCATTGATTCTTTTTTCAATAGAGGGTCATAATAGAAAACCGTCACAATAGTTTCTATCACAGGCTTCGGTTCCGACCCACAGAGTTCCAAAAAAGACCGCGCACACTCGACACGGCGTTGTTTTTGAATAGCCGAAAGGTTTTTAGGAACCATCTTGCACTAACCTTATGCATACCTAAATGATCATGGAGGATTCGACGAACACATGTATCAGAAAGTTTAGTAATTTCTGAGATTTCCTTGACCTTTAAACGTCGATCACTCAATACCACCCCCTCCACAATCGCAACAATATCTTCCGTTATGACCTCCACTAGTCGACCAGTTCTTGAATCATCTTCAAAGAACTCCTGCCCCATTCGAAAACGTTTTGCCCATTCTTTCACTACAGAATACGAAGGAGAACTTTGGCCGTACACACCATCCAGCCTTTCTTTAATAATTTTAGGTGGTAACCCTTCTTTTGTCAAAAACTTTATGACTGCTCTATACTCAATTTGCTTTATTTGGAACATTTTTTCGCAAGACATAAGACTTCATTTTTTTTTCGCAGCCTACTAAGATATATATTTAAAAGAAGACAAAAGTTTTATCGTGATACTGGAGCTGCATCTATGTCAGGCCGGGAAATTTTGGCACTAACCTCGTATATATTTTCACATGACAATTGTTTCGACAACACCGTGTCTTTATCAAATAAAAAAAACTTTTAGTTCTTATTTATTTTGTTAAATGGATTTTCATCAAGTAAAAGTCACCTCAGTTCAATTTTTGTAACAAACATAGCTTAAATTTCAAAATGGAATATTATTGAACTCTGTCATCTCTTACCGTTACCAAGATCCTTCGACTCTCACGAATTAATGTCCAGAAAGGGATATTGCACGCATGTGGCGTCATTTCAAATCACGTGTTAAACCAATAAGAGGTGTGATTTTAAATCGCGAATCGGACCAATAACCCTGAGAGGCTTACAACAATCAACAACCAACATGGCCGCGCAGCAACTTTTTAAGCGATTAAAATTAAAAATAAACAGACGCAACTTTACGGCTGATGTAATAATCCTCTCATAAGCCCTGCTAGAATTAAATGAGTTTTCTTTGACCTTTCAAGTGGTTACGCTCTCCTTGACTATACAGTTAATGTTTGAATTTACCTAAGTAATTGAATTTATTTTTGACAATATATTTCTAAATTTGTTAATTTATTAAAATATTCACCTTATTTTTTTTTTATAACTGTTTAACACCTATCGGGAAAGTTTTCGTTAGTTTTCAACAGGTTTTCTAAATTTAATCCAACCAGCGATTTGTTTTCTAGTTTTCCTTCATTAAGAAATTGCCGTTTTACCCGAATGCTACGAATATTTCAAAAAATTCTAATTGCTTGCTTGATTTTGTACCGTACGAAATCTTGAATAGTTTTTGAGAAAAAACTTTTCTATTTTTTTTTGCGGAAAACAGGCCTTTGGAAAAATGTTTTTTTTTTCACGCTCGAAAATTAAAATCTGGATTTTTTATTATAGTTCCATGGAAGCGGTTTAAATTTTTGATTTTCCTTTGTGATCACCCTGCATAATATATTTTCGCCGTAGATAGGTCAGAGCATTAAATATTAACCACTGCCATGGATCGATAATGAAAAATCCCAATTTTAGTTTTCCACATTTTCCCAAAGACCCGTTCTTTCGCAACAAAAATTGAGAAGTTCATTTTTCTAAAAAACCACTTGAAAAATTTCGTATGCAAATAAGGTATAGGAGCATCTTAAATGGACCACCTGACGGTACCTTAATGGTATCCTGAAGGGGTAATGAAAACTATTTTCTAAGTGTAATTAAAAGTCAATTACAATACATACTTGAAAATTTGTTTATTTTAAGCAAAATGTACAAAAACGTAGTCTGTCACAAGATAGGGCAACCTAAAACAACTAACAATTACGTATGTATTATAAAAATATAAGTGAAAGTGAACTAGAACTAGAAACAAACAACTCGTGAAAGTGTCACGTGCTCGACAAAGGTTTTTTTTAATGGAATTAATATAGACCTATTTTAATGTGTGTACTTTAAAATCTTATGCATATTGCTTGCATAAAATTTATCCTTTTTTGTACATTAAATAGGGTAAAGCTTAAATTATAGTATACATTAAAATGTTTATATCGATTATATTTATAAGTTATTACGCAAAATTCTATAAAATTAAATAACCTTTATTAGAATAATCTACTCCAACTAATTTATTTGCTGGATTAGCGAGACGACGTTAGCATATATACAAAAATATCTTACAGTTATTAAACTAAAGGCAATGTAACTGTTGTATTTTGGGATTTTTCCCAGTGTGATGCGTAGGTCTTAGAAATTGAAATACAGAAATTATCCGTCTTTAGTTTGCCCGTACTGTTGCCAATTTACCATTTACTATTATTATCTCCTTTTTAAGAAACATAGAATACACGCAATGCGAAAAAATCCAATTCTACTTATTCTCTGCTATACTTGGAGGAAGCAGATCATAACCCCGTGCTTAGTGGCCAAAAAAAACGTAATTAAAAAAAAACCGTGCTTATTTATGTAGTTTATTTATTTTATTATAATTTTCGTTAGATAAAGCAACATAAAATAATTAACTTTTAACAGTGCAAATAACATAAGGTGATATGTAACTCTAGAATAGAATATAAGGCTTAGGTTCCCATCCACACTTTGTATTTGGTATTTAGTACCTTTGTTATTTGCACTCTTCCATTGTTGGATTTGTTTGGAGTTTGGTATTAGACGATTACTTTTCTTTTTTAGTTGTGCGATGTTACTTTAAAAATAGGAATAGAAAAATTTAGAGCTCACAAGGTCGTCTTGGCTTCCGTTAGCCCGTATTTTTTCGCTATGTTCAACGGTAAGTGCAAGTATAGTATAGAAAAAAGGCGATTAGGTGGTTCCTAAACCGTCACCCATAGAAAGGTGTAGAGTATTAAAACCTAAACCTGTGGGGTCACCCACAGGGATTGATTTTATTGCAAAATTGTTTCCGCCGGAACTGGAGGAAGTATAGAATTTTATTTTATTTTATTTTTTTCACTTACATACAGGGTAGTCAAATAAACCGACATTTTTTTAAGTGGAACGCCCTATATTTTATTACATTTTTAAATATGGACAGTAATGACGTATGCGTAGTATACCAACAATTTCGTACTTTTTGTTCCAGTTCAACTTTACAAATTTCAGTAGCAGAAGTTTGTATTATATTACACGATTTCATACTGCAATGTAAATCAAGATTTAATGATGGATTTTTACTACTAATTCTAAAGAATAAACTTAAAAATATAAAATTTTATACAATTTTATACAATTTGCTATGAATATATCGAAGAATGGACAGTGAACTTTAGAGCATAAAATTGTTCCAAATGGACCCTTCTAAATAGTAAAATTGAATGCAAAGAAGTTTCTTCAGCAGTCGAATTAATGACAATTTTCCCTTTAAGAAATGTTGACAAATTGAAGAAATGGCACTTGACAAAAGATGGGTAGAAATCTTTCGGCGTTTTAGAGTAGAATATATCCCACATGAAAATTTAAGTTTTAATAGAAATTTCCTTGTGTTGTTCAGGCTGCTGAGCAGTGAGAAGTCGCAACTTTCTGTAAAAACATTATATGTCGTCTTAACAGTCAAATTTAATATGCTATGTTGTTAGAATGTGGGTACAGTATTACACGAACATCCTCATTTAGCAAAAAATATCCACTCCGAAGAAAAAATATTTATGTTTTTAAATGAAAATAGAGTTTTTATCGTTTTTCTTCTTCTTTTTTTTAACTTATGAAATACTTGCAAAGTGTACTCTTTTTGGATAAAAAATTGTTGATCACCTTAAAAAATGGTTTGCCGTTAAAGGATTTAAGAGCAACGCAAAAGTCATCGAAGCTGTAAATGAGTATTTTGAGGACTTTGACGAATCTACGTTTAAAAACCGGTATAATCAAATCAGAAAACCGTTGTGCTGAAAAATAAAACAAAAAAAATCCGCTCCAAGAGTAGACCGAGTGGCGCCACCTCTTGGTCAGGCCGAAAACTTTTCACCCTACCGTCGTATAGGAAAAAGAGTAAACATATACCATGTGTTCAATTTATCTTGATAACATTTTAATTGGCTGTAACTTTTTTGTTTTTAGAAATATCAAGGTAAACAAAAAAAATGTTGGGTTAGTAGCTCAGTTTTTTTTCCAAATGACGTATAAAACAAAACACTATCAATTTTCTGACATTTTTTTAAATAAAACAGCCTGTATGTTATATATGTGTTTAATAGAATATCTTATTCCGATTACAATGATGTAACACACTTTATATTTTAGTTCACTCGTTTTTGACTAATCGGCAAAAAATTGGAAATTTTTAAATAATTTAAAAGAGTGCCCCGACTGTCAAATAAAAATATGTTTATGTTTGTCATATTAGTAAACAATGTTGATAGTCCAAGTCGATATTGTTAAAATGGTTTTTCGCTAATTTAGCATCCGTGAAAGGAGTGATATGCTTCAAGTAGACTTTCTGAATAATAAAAGTGCAACCATAGTACATTAGACTTTACCCAGAGCGCTGAGCTCCTTCAAAACAGGTATTTCGAAGGCTGGCAAAGAAATTTGCAGGAAGCGGTAACGTATTAAATGCTAAAAAGTTATGCCGTAATCATAATGTTTTAAATGAAGAAAATAAAGCAAACGTATTATGATTCTATGAAGCAGTTACTAGAGTATATGAAGAGACAGACACTCAGTTTTGAAAGAATATAAATATAATGCTTTTACATTTCGTAAAACTCGAAAACTAAGTGCACAAACATTGTCAAAGGAGGATGCATATTTGTTTGGATTTTTTAAATGGACATAATGAGAATAATAATTTTTGAAAAACATTTTATGGACTGCGGAAAGTTCGTTCACTACTGGAAAGTTGTAATAGACAAAATACGCTATATTGTTCTTTAAATAATCCTAGAAAGAAATAAAAACCCAGAGGTACCAATCATGTGTGGTGTGGTGTCATAGGTGGGCATATTTTGGGTCCAATATTTATAGATCATTATTTGCAACTCTTAGAACACCAAATAGAACAATATATTACACCTTAATATATCAGCGCTCATTATATAGCAGCAGGACGGTTCCCCTCCTCACAATGTTGTGCAAGTTAAACATTTTCTTAACATGGATTAACCCAGAGGTTGGGTAGGGAACGGTGGAACTATGGATTGGCCAGCCAACAGCCCCGACTTAACCTTAATGGATTTTTTCTTCTGCACGTCCACAGAACTCCTTTTAATAATGTCGTGGAACTTCGGCAAAGGATTTCAGAGACAATCAATTAGCTAAAAGACAATCCGGAAACGTTACTGAATGTAAGACAGCATACAATTAGAGTGTATGAGAAATATGTCAAGGAAAATAGTGGTCTCATCAGCAGTATTTAGAATAGTTAAAGAATTTTTTACTTTAGTGTGTCTTTTCATTTTTAGTGTTTTTGTTCTACTTTAATTTGTAAATAATTAATGTTGTTGCAGTCAGTCAGGGCACTCTTTGATATTTTATTAAAATTTCCTAGTTGTCAAAAAAAAGTGGACTAAAATATAAAGTGTGTTACATCATTGTAATCGGAATAAGATTTTCTATTAAACACATATATAAAATGCAGGGTGTTCTATTTAAAAAAATGTCAGAAAATTGATAGTTATTTGTTTTATCCGTCACTAGGAAAAAACTAGGTACTAACCCAACATTTTCTTTGTCTACCTTGACATCTCTAAAGACAAGAAAGTTACAGCCAATTGAACACACGGTACATCCAAGTAGAATTAAAATGTATGTAATGTATTATATAAAAAATATGCCATAAAAATAGAATTAAGAATAAGATAAGTTTATATATATTTATAAAAAATATGGTGTTCCATCTTAAAAAAAGGTATGTTTCATTCGTGGCGGTTTTTTGAGTATACGCTAAAAGAATTTAAAATCGTACATCCTTACAATCTTGACAACTTGCGTATTTACCATTTATTATGACGCTACCCTAAGTATTTTTTAATTTTTCTGTCATTGAAGTGTCATTGACGCAGTTTCCCGTTTTATTACTCTACACTTTTCTGAAATAGTCTATAACGAGGTTGATTAATAGCTGTTTTTCAGGCGAAATGAAGGAACACAACCAGCACGAAATAGCCATACACGACATGGATGCCACTGCGGTCGATTTGCTTCTCGAATACGCCTACACCGGCCAAATAACGATCACTGCCGATAACGTACAAGTGTTACTGCCTGCCAGTAGCCTGTTGCAGATGCACGAAGTGAGGGAGGCGTGTTGTAGGTTCCTTTTGAGGCAGCTGCATCCCACCAACTGTCTGGGAATCCGAAGTTTCGCGGATACGCATTCCTGTAAAGAGCTGCACCTCAAATCTCACATATACGCCTTGCAAAATTTTCAGCAGGTCGTTTCCACCGAAGAGTTTTTGTTTTTGCCGTTCGAAGAAGTGAGTTGATTATTTATTATCTCTAATAGAAACTACTATAACGCCCAAATATCTCGAAAACTGTCGAAGCTTTGAAAGCTGTAAAACCCTTGACATCGGATCATTTTTAAGGTTTTTGTTGTTGGGCACTTTTGTGGGGTACCTCGGTTATTTCTTGAGAAAGAAAGCATGACCCTCTTGTATTATTTACAACACTTCTGGATGGGTTTTAGTCAACTGTCTACTGTGATAACTTGCATTGTCCATTACAATGACGCTATTTTGGAACTAGTTTGTTTTTGGAATCCAACCATCTTTAGAGAAAGCGTGCAAAATAGTTATTCTTTTACCTCTTTTTGATGGCGCTTTTGTTTTACACTCATCAGTTGAGTCAACCCAACCCTTTTCCGGGGTATCATAAGTGTCGAGCCAGGTTTCATCCAAGTAAATAATTGACCTTTGTTGTTCTCTGTAAGTCCTAATTTTTTCTAGATATTCCAGTTGCCATTTCCGAAGTCTAAAAGATTCCATTATAACTTGCCTTTTGTCAATTTTTTTAAATCTAAAATCCATGTGATGATTACACTTCCATAATTTAACACCACATTTAACACCGGTTTCATCTTTTTCCAGCCTCCTAATTAAGATATCTAAGGTAGGCACGCTTTGTTCCTCGTATAACTGGTAAATTTTACGCCGTACTATATCTTGATCACTTCCATCTACACTCGAGAAAATGTCAGCATCGCTTCTTTTTTTCCTCGCTTCACAATTTTCCATACAGTTGATGTTGGAATTTTCGTCAACGTGGCCGTTTCTTCTAAAGATGCTTTCTTGCTGGCACCACGTTCAACGAGAGTCAAATAAACATTGTTTATAACTTCCTTAGTCCCAATAAAATAGTGTTTTCTACATTTGGGCGGGAGCATCTCCTGAGATACAATAGTCTCGCACATATTTTGCATAATTCGCACACTATGCAACACATGCTGTATTACACACGAAATAAGAATGAGTACTAATAAACTTAAACTAAGTAGTATACCAAACCAAAGAATATTGAACACAGGCAGGTACAAAATTATTTTCTGTTACGGACCACAATTTTACCTGAATTTAAATTCCGAAATTTTGGGTAATAATCTTATTGCATTGTATGTTAATGACCACCCTTGGATAATCCCATTCATCGCCTTTCTTATATCTATGAACAGACCATACCCCTCGAAATTCTACTACGGACTCGTAACATGTTTAATATACTTTATTTTGCATATATTCCCATAAAAAGAAATCCGGAGACCGTGGAGGCCATTCTACAGGTTTAAAAGTCAAAAGTAATTCTGAAATGACCTCCTCAAGAATGTCTAGGTACCTACGTGCTGTAAGCATTAACGCTGAAGTAGAAGTATGATTTTCGTAATTATTATTGATGAATATTCTATTTTATTCCTTATAAACTTTTTGTAAACAAGTTTAAGAGACAGACGTCGACTGTGATTGGATGCTCTCGATGTTATTCTTGATATGTGCTCAATAAAGTTAGTGTCAAACACAACGGCCAGGTCTCTGGACGTATCACACCGTCGAATAACATGGCACTATTATTTCGATAAAAAGACAGGAGTTTGAATTTGGTGATATTAAGTTTCCGAAAGTTCGCAGAGCACCACTGATGAAGATCTGAAAGAAATGTTAGATTTCTGTAAAAAGTATTTTTTCTGGTTTTATTTATAAATATCTAAAAGATGAAAAGATACAGAGAGAAACAAAATACCATAATTTAACAATAGATTTTTGGTAATATTAATGTTGCCATTGTATGGACATTTTTTGCTATTTTCTTTTATGTAGGGTTGTGTCAGCATCTGTCAAATTTACATGTCATTAAATGTCAAAAAACGACAGAGTCTAAACAAGAGTTTCAAAAAAATTATTCTAACTCAACAAATGAAAAAATATAATATTTTATTATTTATTCATTTTTAAAACCAATGGTTATTATTATACTACAAAAACTTTTTCAATTAATGAGTAGTATTTCCAGTTTAGAGGTTGCCCATTCTTTGTAAATCATCCTGTGCAATATGCAATACCTAAGCCTGATTTCCAGTTTGAAATCTTAATTTTCGAAATGCATGGTTCAAAGTTTTATTACGTTTATTTTTTCTACGAAATTGGTACCCGTGGGTTTCTTTATATCGAAAATGTGATTTTTTTTCTTAATTTAGTTTTCGCGCTGCTTACGTGTCTTCTCAAAGATTCATAATTTTCTCTATGAATCATTTTTACTATTAGCAACCATATTGTGGTTTGAAGTGAGGCACGTGTTTTAAATAAGTAAAACAAATTCGTAAAGTTGTTAATCAATGTAAAACTAGAAATGAAGCATTTTAAAGTACAGTCGATAAAAAGAAACAATATCAAAAGAATGTGTCACGTCATTAGTAAAAAAGGCGATAAAGCAACTATTTGAACCAAAAATTAAGAAAGTTTAGTAAAACTAAACTTATTAACTACGGAAACGGTTTTACTAAAAATATGACTTACAATACGCAACTTTTCATTGATTTGTACCTCCTACAGCTTCCTAGGTCCGAAAATTTCAAGCACCCGGTACGCCTTGCGAAACTGAAAAATATTTAATAACGTGCTCGTTACTTGCACCGTATCATTTCTTTTCTTGCAGGTAAAGGAGCTGATTTCTAACAGTCAGTTAAACATCGCATCCGAGGAAGATGTTTTTACGGCAGTGCTCAATTGGGTCAAACACGATCTGATAGAACGAGAAAAGTACATTTCCGAAGTAAGTGTTGTGATGCCTGAGATTCTTCTTTCTAACGAATTAAATTCGTAAATAACTTTTCAAATTTTGCAAAATATGCCCTGAATACCTAAAGTTATAATGTGATTAATGTTTTTTGTTTACTTTTTTTTAAAATAACAATTGATACATAGAGAGTATCAAAATTTGGCATAGAATTTACAACATTGCGCAGCAACCGCCTTCTTAAAAGTATCTGATGAAGGGAAATCTAGTCGTCTAGTTGAAAAATCTTAAAAGAAATTCAAAACAAAATTTTAAAAAATGTATGTTTAAAAGTTAAATAGTCGCTTTAGATCTGCTTTATAAAACTCTACACCTGTATCGTGCTTTCAATTCATCTTGATAAAATTTTAATTGGCTGTAACTTTTTTGTTTTTAGAGATATCAAGGTAAACAAAAAAAAAAACAAAATGTAAGGTTAGTAGCCAAGTTTTTTCCAAGTGACGTATAAAACAAAACACCATCAATTTTCTGACATATAAGCCTACATCTCTTTTTTAGTGGGACACACTCTATATATATCTTATTACAATGATGGAACACACTTTATATTTTAGTCCACTCGTTTTAGACAAATCCGCAAAAATAGGAAATTTTTACATAATTTCCAAGAGTGCCCTGACTGACAAATAAAAATATGTTTATGTTAAACATATTAGTTGATGGTTGAATTATTGTCCAAGAGTTTAGCATCCGAAGGGAATGATATGTTTTAAGTATACTTTCTGAATAATAAAAGTGCAATCGCAGCTCGTCGTCAGTATATTAGACTTTATCCACAGTTATTTCCAAGGCAGACAAAGAAATTTGCAGAAAAAGGTAACGTATTAAATGCGAAAAAGGTATGCCGGAATCGTAGTGTTTAAATGAAAAAAAAACAAGGCAAACATATAAGGATTTTATGAATCACATTCACTTTCCTCTATTACTAGAATATACAGTCAAAAGGTTCGTACTGTTGTTGCTTTTTTTTTGCATCTTTCTTCCAACATTTCTTATCACTACTTATTTTCTCAATAATAATATTTTTTTTTGTTTTGAAAACTTTTTTCGTTATCTTGTCTTTTGTGATACTATCTGTATATTGCTTCTAGATAGTAATTAAATACCTATTACGACTTTTCTTCGTGTTTCGAAAGTAGCATATTCAAATTCAATAAGTTTGATAACTGATTATTCATCATGGTTTTTATAATATAAAAATTTCTTTTGCACTTTTCCACCTGGTTTTGGTGTACTACATAATAGGGTGACCAGTACTTAGAACAAATCCATTGTAGAGTATTTTTAATGTTTTTAATTTGGTAAGCATTATAAATCCTAACTAAATCCTAATATTGAATATATGTTCTTCAAAATTGAGTTTGTCGTCCAACGTCAATCCCAACTCTTTGCTCTTATGCTTTCTTATTAATAGTTTATGGTTATTTGTATAGGAAAAATCAACGTTTTGCTTTTTTCTTGTTATTGACATATAGAAACATTTTTTCAATGTGGCCCGGTCCTACTCATATACTTATATCAAGTAAAAGTACATCTTGATCCTTTCTCGATTCTCTATACAATTTGAAGTCATCTGCAGATAATGCACGTACAGAGTTCCGAACTACCGTTGGCAAATCGTCCATCAGTAGTAAAAAAGAAAAGGGGCGCAAGATTCGACCCTTGCGGGACACCAGATATTCTCAAAAAGTCTATCGATTCTCGTCCTTTATAAACAACAAATTGTTTCCTTTCAGAATAAAATTTATGACAGCAATTCATCTATTTCTACGCTGTCAAACGATTTAGCAAAATCTGTAAAAATTACGTCGAATTGACTATTTTCTTCCATTTTATGACTCGCTTCCTGTATAATGTTCACACATTTGTCAACATTTGTCGTCTGGGCAATAAAACTAAATATAATAATTTACTACACACTAGGCAGAAAGTACTGTGTAGATAATATAACTTATGCTTTTTATAAAAACTAAAAATAAAAAACATATTCACATGATTTTCATAAAAATATCTTCAATATCACCTTTATACTACTAATATCATACTGGTAAGAACTTAATATCCAGATTAGAGAAGGTTATTAGATGTTCTAAGGGGCAAGAAACAAAATATCATAATAAGTTTGTACACGAAGATTCAATATACAGATTACTAATTTACATTATATATTCTATATCTCTATATAATCTGGATTTCTTATCTAATCTTATCTAATTATTAAAAAGTCTCAAAAGTTAAAAAGCATCATGGCACCAAAGAGAGCACACAAAACTGCGTGTGTGTGTCCTTTTTCTTTTATTTTTTAGGTGTCAGTAAATTCTACAACAATGTGTAGCTTTTAAAAAGATTACAACAATCCGGATTGCCTCGGTTTTTATTAATCCGGATTCCCGAAGCTCTACAGTATATAGTATTCTTAAAATATACTCTTCACGACATTATGTTTTTTCATGTTCTTGTACTAATAAAGATTTTCATTTATTAATTCTTTTAATAATGTGAAATACTTGTAATTTCTGCCCTGTGTTATTATTGTTGCTGTAATTGGTGTTAACACCGTTATAATATTATTTGAATCTCTTTCAATGTATTTGCTCTTTAGGCGCTTTAGAGGTCATCATAGCCGATTGAGTTTGGGTATAATAAAATTTGCATAAACCCCCTCTTTCAGCTCATGATCCACGTCAGACTGCCGCTGGTAAATCGGGAATTCTTAATGACGCGCGTAGACAACGAAAAACTGATCAGGGACAACAACGAGTGCAGGGAACTGCTCCTGGAAGCGATGCGATACCATCTGGCGCCGGAAAGGAGATGCGCCTTGTCCACCACGAGAACGATGGAGAGGAAACCCAAGGGGGCCGACCCTTACATTTTCGCCATAGGGGGCGGGTCTCTGTTCGCCATTCATTCCGAATGCGAGGTCTACAATCCGAAAAACGACCTCTGGCATCCGATAGCTCCGATGCAATGGAGACGATCTAGGTCCGGGGTCACCGGCCTTAGAAGGTTTATTTTTTTATTATTAATCGTTGTATCAGTTCACAAAGGAATTCGCTTAGAAAAAATAATTTTGATACTCAAGAGAACTTGACTAACTAACTAAACTAATCCTAATCTTTAACAAAATCCTAAAATAACATTTTGGTAAATATTTTTGATGTATTGTCACAGGAAAAAACCTCCCAACCCAATATTTTTTTTTACGAATTTCTTGGACCTTCCGTTTCTCTACTTATTGGGACACTAGGTACAAAGACATTTTTTTATATGAATAATAAGATTTAATGACCTTAAAAGCTTAGAAATAATCTTGCAACGTTGCAAACCTAACAAATACGTCATCGTCGCTAATAAATAAATTGATAAGAACAGAACAGGACCAGAATGTGAACCCTGAGGTACAACCCAAAGAACCGTTGCTTTCGCTGCGGAAAGGAACTAGACAGCCAATTTAAAAACTTTTTACTAAAAGCAAGGCCGAATGCCTTTTAGATTTTAGATATCAATAAATTGTGGTGAACTCTATCGGATGCTCTAAACTATGTCGAAGGTTACTTTACGTTGTCGGCGGATACGACGGCGCCGCAGATTTGGCAACCGCGGAATGCTATAACCCTCTGACGAACGTGTGGTCCGCCATCACTCCCATGGGCACCAAAAGATCTTGCCTGGGCATCTGCTCGTTCGACGGTCTCATCTACGCGTGCGGCGGGTACGACGGTGCCTCTTGCTTGAGCTCCATGGAAAGGTTCGACCCTCTCACCGGAGTCTGGTGCAGCTGTCCTGCCATGAACACCAGGAGGCGCTACTGTAGGATTTCCGTCGTGGGTCAGTAACCGTTAACCTATAAAGCGACACGTTAAAAAAAATTCTTATTTTTTTGTTATTAATTTTGTTATATCGATGAACCCCCCCCCCCCCCCATGTTCAGTTGGTTAGAGTAAATAAGACAGTACCATTTGGCCGTTATTAACATTTAACAATGATTCGAATAATAGTTAAATGTAAAATAAACTAAAGCAGCCTAGGAAAATTAACGACATGTCCTCAAAATTTTTGTTTAATGTCTGAAAATAGTCTTAGATCGGGGTCTGCATTTAACCTATTTAGGTATTTCATTTTCATTTCATCGATTTTCGAAAGTAACAAGTTGAAAATTCTTTTTGAAGCAGTTGAGCAGCGTTAAAATCAGTTTTATCTCTGCTCTAAGCGAAAGGGTTGTACATTATACACGCGTGCTTTTACAAATGCAAAAATTGGGCTGTCCTGCCACAAAGCAGTAAATATACATGAATCTGCCCGGATCGTTTAAATATCACGATTTGTTTTTTGCTTAATAGCCAGCAATTTAGAACAAGCATTTACAAAACGTTATATTGGTGAAAGGTAAACACTTGAGTCGCTAATAAGATTATCTAAAATTGTTTTCCTGCAGTTTTACATCAAATTTCATTAGCTGCTTGAGGTTGCAATTTGTTTAGGATAGACTCGACATCTGAAACGACGAAATTGAAAACTTTTGCAGGATCTGATTTTTCCGTCTCAGAAAGTTGGTGCGATGGTACATTTACCACAGTGTCTGGTAGTTGAGAAGAGTTTTATGGTTTCACTAGTGTTGACATTAGTTTTTCAAATTTTTCAATTTGGTTTTGGGTAGAAGATAAACGAAGATTCTTAGCTTTGATGGGGACAAGATGAAAGCAATTTTGAGATGTTTAGACAGAAGAGTCTTATTGATTTGGTCTATTTCTTTATGGATATGATGCATTCTTTCTGGAAGTAAAGTAAAACTAGAATTACGAAAAATTTTATGAGCAGATGAGGTTTTGACATGACAGGAATATTTTAAGAAAATTAGGGACAACATTATGCTCTTTACAACGTAAGAGTAATCGTGCGAGTCGGTGATCTTCTAACTTTCTGCTTCTGCACTTCATGTCCTCTCCATAAAGTAATACTAGAGTAGTAGTAGTGGTGGTTGTGAGTTTATTTAAATATCAACTAGGCTGAAAAAACATGAAACAGCTTTAAGACTATGATAAATAGCGGTTGACTCTCCCTCCCTCCCAGCCCTCTCTCCCTCTCCCACCCCTCTTTCTCACCCCGTCCCCCTCTCACCCACTCCCTCCCCTAGTAAACATTGGGTTATACTTTGACTTTGACAGATGCCTAATAGTGTTGACGGAAATTCCAATGGAATGTGGTGAACATTGGGTATAAAACCGATTTTTCTTAAAATATTGTCTAAAACTTAAATTTAAAGAAAATTGATTTTACAACATCATATTTATCAGATTGAGTCAGCAATTGCAGTTGACCTTTGGACTTATGTCCGGTTGACATAGAGTGTTTTTCTTCAATGTTGCTTTTTTAAAAAAAAAAAAAGCTGCCCCTCTGTAAAGCTAGTTGGCAATAAAGTAGTTACTTACTTACAGAAAACTGCATCTACGCTCTGGGCGGCTTCGATTCAACCAATTACCAAGCTTCGGTGGAAAGGTAAGAAAGGCGTTTACGGAAAGCTGAGCACGGATCGCTGATTGCGCTACGTTTTCTGTTAGATTTGATCCGAGAGACGGTAAATGGCAGTCGGTGCCGTCCATGTCAACGAAACGTTCTAGTTGCGGCGTGGCCACCTTAGATGGACATCTTTATTGCATCGGAGGTACGCGCTAGTATATTTTTTAGTTTTAGTTAATTTTGTTTATTGTTTTATTTAACACTACGCACTTTTGGTTTAACGTAAAAAATACCGCTTTGGAACATATAGATCGGGGTGTTCGGAAATTGAGTTAGGAAACTTGTAGGAAAGATTCGACGTGGTAAAATAATGGTAGCAATTCATTTAACAAAAATTCGAAATAGTATTTTTTCCCGAGTTATAGCTTGTCATAAGTCATCACAGCCCTAATTTAGTAAAAGTGATCGTTACAAAATAAAAGTGTTTCAGAAATCTGTCGCTAGAGGACACTTTATCTAGAACATTTTTTTTATTTTTCCTGTATTTTATTTATTTAGACTGATATTGCAAAATAGAACAGATTGCCTTAAGCAGAATCACAAGTCGTCAAAAACTGTTACTTTTGTTTTAAATGTTATCATTTAACGTGTAAATGTGATTTTACCTAACAGGACTTAATCAAATTTGAAAAAGTCATTGTCACACGACTGCTTTATATCGACGCATTTCCCAATAGGAACGTTCAATATGCTAAGACATTCCTCAACGTACACTGAATAGGATCATTCAAACCTGATAATATGAATAAAGGGAGGCCAAGGTATAAAAGAACCGCTGCAGGAGAAGAAAGAATACTTCGGAAAACTTGCTGTTCAGGAAAGAATTGCATGGGCAATTGGAGAGTAATTTTATGCAATTAAATTTTAGGAAAAATTCAAAATTACCTGTAAGTCGTAAATGTTATTTTGTTCACTGACGAGGCTGTATTTAGTCGTGATGGCATTCTAAATTTTCGAAATATGTATTAGTATAATATTGAAAACCCACATACAAAAATTGAAGGAAAACATTAATCAGCGCCGATTTTCTTTAAATGTATTATAGGGAGAGTGGAGAAAAAACGTGTGATTAATGCACGATGGCGTTCCACCCCATTTTACCTCTGGACCTCTAGCTTGGCCGCCTCGCTCACCAGACCTTACTCCGATGGATTTTTTTGGGAGCACTTAAAGGCTTTAGGTGTATGAAACACCTATAACAGATATCAATGATCTACGACAAAAACTAATAAATGGTCGCGAAATCGTTAGAAATCGGTTAGGCGTATTTTTTCGTGTTCGACAGCATTTTTTAAAATGGATAAGAAAATGTTTAGAAGTGAACAGTGGGCATTTTGAAAATGAATTGTAATTAGCGTTGTATACTGTTGAATTTCCAATTATAATTGTTTTTCCCTAACAGAAATGCATATTGTAACGTCCAGTATCACCTTTCTGTGGGATTTGTGTGTGTGTCGATTTGTGGCTAAACGATAACACTTATCAACTTAAAACAATAGCAACAAGTTTTGAGGATTTGTGATTCTCCTTTCTGTTTTTTAATATCAGTCTAAATAAACAAATTACATCAAAAATTAAAAAAATTCCAAGTAAAGTGCCTTCCAGTGACACATTTCTGAAACACTGACTGTGTAACTATGACTTTTACTAAATCAGGACTATGTGTAAAATACCAGCTTCTAAAAATAATATTTAAAACAATGAATTTTGAGAAGCGAAAATATTACAATTTAGAATTTTTGTTACATGACTTACTGCAATTATTCTACAACGTTGAATCCTTCCTCCAAATTTCCAAACTCAATTTTCGAACACCCTGTACAAATTAGTCTTTCTTAAACATCTGTTTCTTCAGCTCTTAGTATATACGCTTCAAATTCAATTCACGTTTTGGTGCTTAATATTTGAGTGATATTTATTTTTTGTCAATGCTGGAAATAATGTAGAAAACTGCTTTTTTCCATTAGAAATGGAAGTCCTCAAACGGTTAGTGATTATGATTATCTTTTCTTTCTTCTGTAGACGTTTAAACTTTGCCAGTTCTCGCTTGTATTCCTCTTTGTCCCTTTGTAATTCGGTACTCATCAAATTATAATATTCCGTGTATTTTATTTTGTCTTTGTACACGTTGTCTGTATAGTTAGTATAATTAATGCTATCCTCTTGAAGCAGTTCTACTTGATATTACGTATTTTCTACGTTTTCAAAGCTTTCGTGTGTAGTTTAAGTTTGGTTGGTAGTTTGTTTAAATGGAATTTTCAGTTTTGCTTTTATTAGAAAGTGATAGAATTACATAATCAATTATAGATTGAAGCTGTCTATTATCTTGGTGCAATGTAAATTTGTGAATATCTGAGAAGCCATTCATTATTTTCGAAATTATGTCCGAATTTTTCGCCATTTTCATTGAGACTGTCTTCTCCGAATGTGAAATGCTCTTTTTCAGCTACCACTGAGTTATTCGTTGGGCCGTATGCTCTGATGATGGTTAATTTATGTCCCCTGTTGTTAATATTGGTTGTAACAATCCTTCATTTATTCCTTCCCAATTATTTATATTTGATTTAAATTTCTGGTGGATTAGTGTAGAGACAGATGTCTTTGGTGTAGCTACTTCTGCACTAAATATGTGAATATAGTTCCCATATTCTTCAATTCCTGTGGAACAAACAATAAAGAGTAAACTTTTCAAAATTAGAAACTCCTGTATAAAGTACTCTACAATAAAAGAGTGGTATTTATTCCAGGAAATGATGGGACAATGTGCATGAGCAGCGGCGAGAGGCTAAATATAAGAAGGAACGCTTGGGAGCCTATATCCGCCATGCATAACCGAAGGTAATTAACCAACTAAGTTACATTTTATATAACTTATATTACTTTATTTATATTTTGAGTATTATAGTCTGTCTCAAACTTCACCCTGTTGGCTTTCGCCCAATAAAACTTTAACAATGTTGTCATTGGGTAAAGCCATTAACAACAAATTTCTTCTTTTGTAAGTGACAATACAAGGGTGGGCCAGATATATTTTTTTCATTCCGATATATTTCATGAGTGTTGACCATTTGTGGCAGTGTTATTTACTAACCAAAACGTGATTTTCAAAACTTACCGTATAGACAATAGTGATAGGACCTAATAAGGAAAATATATTGTCTTTACGCACTTGGAGATTTAATTATCTTAAAGAAATTAAAATATATTTATACAAAACAACATAAATCTTCTTATATTTAATTTCAATGACGACTCTAATAGCGAAACAGAATTAGATTTAAACATTTAGAATCAAAAAATCCAATTATGTATAGATATTCCTAGCTAGGAATTTATTGTACGAGGGCTGCCTTTTATATTTTGGGATTTTCTTAAACTAGTCCTGCCGTCTGGCGACTAACGTTTTTATAGGGAACTTTGACATTTTAAGGTTAGGTTTACCCAGTTAGGTTTTGGCGAAAGAGTTTTGTTTGTGTTTTTTGTGATAAATTTAAAAAAATGTGACTGTTAAAAATGGAACTTAATCGAGAGCATTTTCGTACCACTTTAGACGTGGACTAACTGAACAAAAATGCATCGATGAACTTAATTCGACTTTTGGAGTTAAAGCACCATCTAGGACTCCTGTTTATCGCTGGTTAGTTTTGGTTAGTCGTCCAAAATCGATCGACGTTGTGGGTCTTTCAGAATGAGACAAACCCAACAAAAGTTGTTCGTGCGCAAAGCATTTCCAAACAAATGGTAGCCTGTTGGTCACGTTTCAACTGTTTCTTTGTTGAAAGGTAAAACAGTCAATTCTGAATGGTACACAAGCATTTGTTTTTGCCGAAAGTCTTCGAAGAAATTAGAAAAACCAACCGCCGAAGACTCTCCACAACGACAATGCCAGTGCAACCAAAGAAGTTTTTGTGCATTAAAAACATTGATTTGAGGCGCCATCCACCATATAGTCCTGATGACTTGTTTTTATTCCCATACATTAAGAATAAATTATGTTGGCAAAGATTTTTGACACCAGAAGAAGTGATCGATGCTTTTAAAAAGCATGTTTTGGAGGTGCCCGACTCGATGTGGGAAAAGTGCTTCGATGATTGGTTTTATCAGGGTGAATGTTTTGAGAAACAATAAAGTCATATTTGTTGGTAGCTAGTTTTTTATTATAAATCCGGAAATATAAACATTAACCCTCGTATCTATTTCATGTTATTGTTTTTTCTTAGTGTAATTTAATAAGACTATTTATTCCCAACTAAATAAAAAAAAATTATTACCAAAACCTTTAAGAGTCCGTCCCTAATGTTCTGTCCTTTAGTATCTACCTGGCCCGATGAAGATTGACACATACTTTACCTGTAGGTTTTTATAGCCTTGTAGTGAGGCCACTTTTAAAAAAAAATAGAGCATTGAGCTGGAATCTCCAGATTTTCGCCGTTTCTAGTTTATAGATGGTTTCTGTGAAGTAATTGACAAATTTAATCAATCGATGATGCGATGTCATTGACAGGGCCACCCACGAGGTGGTAGCCATCAACGGCCACATTTACTCATTGGGCGGTACCGATGGCAGTTCGAGTTTAAATTCGGTCGAGCAGTACGATCCCAAATGCAACAAATGGATCCTGGTAAAGAGTATGGCGTCGCGAAGAAGCTCGGTGGGCGCGGCCGTTTTGGACTGCATCAATATCGAATACGTGTTGAGACAGACGAGGCTAGGCAGTTGATGATGCCCGTTAAGGGCCTCTAAAGTAAACGGAAAGGGTAACTTGAAAGTGATCTCATCGGTTTGGGAACATCATGACATGATGACATATTTTTTGCTTCGATCTAGTCACTTTGGAATAATATGCGCAACTTGGCGGTATTAACGTGACGTAGTGTTTTGGCCTTAACGTAGTGTATCTGTCAAATGTGGCTTATTAATTATTACCACTCGGGTGGATCTAGCAACACGAACTTTCTTCTTACTTTATACAGATTCTATCGGAAGTTTATTCTGTCCATACAGGGTGTTTCGAAAAGTATGCGCCGACGCTTGCCTGGAGATTTGTCAAAAAGACAAAAAAAATCATATAAGATATGCTTTTTACAATATTTTCAATTAATTTTAATTGGCTAACTTTGCTTTAAAATAATATTGCTTGAATGAGGTCTTCGGAGCAACCGATTTATTCAAAAATTATTTAATATGTATTATAATTTACCACACCACATAATTGGTTTGCTTAGAAACACACACATACATCACGCCAAAAAAATGTGCGCCACTGACTTGCAATGTTTTTTGCTTTGAATAACCCACTCATTGAGTTGCTTTCAACTTTTTCTTAAAATTAGTTCTAAAAACACAAAAGGCGATGAAAATTGAGAAATCTTGGGAACCAAGCATTTTACGTTCATGTGAACGTTTTTTAGCGCATATTTTTTGTATTTATATTTCCAATTATTAATGAATCTGCCCATATACAAGTTTTCGTTTCATCTTCGTGAAATTCTTGAAACTCTTCGGGAGGCTGTTATCTTGAATTATACTTGTTTTTTTGCTAGATTTACTGCGAAAATTTTACCATTTTTACTACTTACCCGGTTAAAATGCGTAACACGTATACTTTATAGTTCGTTGTGAAATGTTTCTGTGATAAATTAGTATTCATCAAAGGAACCAAACGCTACTTGAGCCGTAGTTCAAATGTACCGACATATTGGTTATTGTTTTTCTTCCATTGTACTTCCTGTGACATGGTATGGGTTTAAAACACTTTTCTTTTAGACGGATTTTTATACTTACTAAGCCAGAATCGGGTTTAATTTCTCACGTTACCTAGTTAATTGTTGCGCTAGTCTCATAGATTTAGGGTTTGAAAAGCTTGTTTGTTTTCGAGAGCATCTAAATTGTTACTTAGGGCAATTATATACAATTTGTAAATCTATGTGCAATTTTATATATATTTGGATTTTAAACATGTACGTTACGGTATAACCACGCACTGCCAGTTTGAAATAAACTTTTTAAATAATCAGTATCGACTTTTGTTTTAGCCATTTTGTCGTAGTCGAACGTCGATAACTAAATTATTCTCTAAAGAACTACAAAACTCACGTCATAAACAAATCGATCGATGTAAAATAGGATCCATCGTGGTGTGATTCCGGTTCTCAACAATAGCAACAGCGGTGCGGGGAGAGGGGTAGGTGGATATGAGCATCGTCTACAGTGAGGTATACTATGTATTATGTATATAAATTACACTAAAAATGCCAAAACTTTGCTGCCCAACTGCCCATTCTTACTCAGCTTTTTCATCTATGTATTGAAAGCTGTATTACCAAAAGTGAGCAAGCCTAACATTCATTCATGGGTAGATCTGTGATTATTTCACTAAAAACAACCTTAAATTACAGTCAGGATTTCGCAAAGGATATATAAAGTAAAGTTTTTTTTTTTCAAAGAAACTTCCACAGGCTACTGTAATACTTTTTACAAAACTGCGTCGGTTTTTGCTGCGTCGAACTTGCGGACGTTTCGCCAATCATCCTGTTGGATTCTTCAGAGCTTGACTGAAACTGGCTCGCATTTTACTCTGTACCTGCTTATATATTGGGGGGCGGAGCTAAATAAGGGGCATATACACTGTCTCCGATGACTGAGTCCCATATGGGCGTCAGGTAGAGACCTCAGTCGCGGTTAAGATTGTTAGCTTGTTTATAAATTTCTATAGACTCTCGGATTTTTCGTTGGTAAAAGAATTGATTACATGCAAGAATTTTAGTTTTATCGAATAAAATTTTATGGCCGGTTTCGTGATTGTGTTCGACAATAGCTGATGAGTTTATTTGTCTTAGTCGTAAGGCTGTTTCGTGTTCTTTGAGTCTAGTTGATATTTTTCGTCCGGTTTCTCCAATGTATTCTTTGCCGCGTATGAACTCCTCGCATCTCAAATGGAATTTTATCTGTGACAGACAGAAGATTTTGGGACAAGCGGTAAATCTGGTTTTGAGAACTTTTGATATATGGTCAGTGATATTTTGAATGTAAGGAAGAACCACAGTGCCAAGTGTAGGATTGCTTTCGGCCTCATTGTTATTAGAAGGTTGTGGTGAAGTGTATTTTTTGATACAACTCCTTTGTGAAGTTTGTAAAATGTATTACATTAAAGTTTTGGATGATATTTTCTCAGCAGCAGGTAAAGGAGAATCATCGGCTTTAGTCTTATTAGATTACAGTAAAACTTACGATACCCTCGATCAGGCTATGCCAAGTTAAAATACTACGGGTTTAAATTTAAGACGGTTCAATTGATTCGTAACTATCTGGATCACAGATATAAGCTAGTTCGATTGACAACATTTGATCAAAAGCCTTATTAGTTGTCAAGAAGGTCTCTCAATGCTCATTATTAGGACCTCTTTTCTTCATTATATATACAGCAGATTTGTAGGGTTGTTTTAGTGAGTTCAATAGTATGCTGATGACACGCAATTACATATTTCTTTTTCCCGGTCAGATGCGGTGGAATAAATGCTTGGAATCAGTCTTTAAATACTCAAATGATTATGGCTTGAAATTAAATCCTATTAAGTTGTTGTATTGGGCCGCCCAAAACAAACAAACCAAAACAGCTGGTGACGAATATAAAAACTTGAGTAACATTTCAGTGGCACCGGCTTGAAACGTCAATATGAAATACCTAAAATTAAGAAGTCCCTGACTAACAGCTGTTCCTCGTATTAAGATTAGTCAACCACAGAATGTCTCTCATTGCGCTTTTAAATTTCAATTAATAAAATATCTTACGGGAAACTACCTAGATTGCTCATCAGTTCTCTTTATATAGTATTTAATCGTTTTTCTTTTTTGATTTATGCTTGATTCATATTAGTATACTAAATTAAGTTCGCATTGTCTTGTTCAATACTCAGTTAAGTTAACAGCTCAGCTGACCTTCGTGGAGCTTAAAATAAAAGCGGTTTTATTTATTATTTATTTATTTATTTTATGTATTATTCCGCAAATTTTTGGCAGAAATAACTACAATTATTGAATTGAGTTGTCGAATGTTGACCACACAGTCTTATTGACTTCGATGTTCGCTTGACCAGTATATGGAGTAGCTATTTTATGGCCTCTATTTGGAGGATGTTATTATGACATCAAATAACTTATTAAATGAATATCCTCGTTTAGGTAGAAATTGCAAAATACTCTGTATAGCAGTTGTTGCATGGTATTTCGGAAAAATTGTTCGCAAAATTTCGGTAGGATGAAGTAGTGACAGCAGTAAGGTCTGCCATATTGCTAAGCTGTTAAATCGCGCAACCCCGTGTTTAATAAGCTCAAATCTGAAAAAAAACTGTTTTAACGGCCGTTAATTGGTCTACTAACACTACAAAGGGTTCTCGATTAATCTCTAACACGAACATTGGTAATTTAGTTTTACTGGTAACAAGACTTCCGTATCAATGGTTTAATACACCCAAATATAAAAAAAACTGGTTTAGCGGTCTTGTCATTTTGTCTACCTATATGAGAAAGCATTCCCGATTAGTTGTTTGCAAAGACATTGCTAATTACATAAATAAAAGATATACCAGTTTAACTCGGTTTAACTAATCCTGATTACAAAACAAAGTGACTCATTAGTGCAACTTCTTTTTCATTCAGCAAAAGGTTCTTGCTTTTAACAAATAAATGACTAACAATCCGGAAGTTTACTTCTTTATAACATATACAATTGCAACTAAATTTTAAATTCTTTTACATCAACTAGAAAAACTTACAAAGATGTAATTTAAATAATAGGCATCTAAACAAGTATTTATCGATCGATGTCGATCCAGATATGTCCGCAAACTTACTGTAAATTTCCGATGTTTTAGGATTCTTTTAAATGTACATATTTGTACTTTCGAACATAGATGACGCGACAAGTATCGCTAAATTATTCAGACAGAATTTGAACTACCAAAATTAACTGTTCCCAGGGTCCGCAACAGTGATATTTGTTTCTTATTTTTGTAATTAAGTGTATCCGAGGGTCCGCAACAGTGATATTTCTTTCTTATTTTTGTAATTAAGTGTATCTCTTACTTTTGTCGACGTTGAATTATCACTGTTAATTTGTTAGAGCATTTATAGCGCAAATGTAAAGTGAGAAATTACGGACAAATTTAAGCGGTAGTTGGAATGGATATACATATGTATTAGAATATTACATCGGGTAAGTTTTAAAATGTACATCATATTTTTTGTATTGTCAAATCTAGTAACTGTACCAAGATTTTTGCTCCTTATTACTAATTGGTTGAGATCGACGCAGATAAATAGCCTAAATAGTTTTAACATGAAATTATATACATTAGATAATATAGTGACCGGTAAAACGTGCTACGCCGCCGGTGACTTTGATATTTTCGTGCAGTTGTCGTATTTTATGAAAACGTAATATCAGTCTGAAATTATTGGCAACGCTGAGCCAAGAACCCTAGTGGTCTGTGCCATTATTGTTTTCATTTTTGGTGTTTGCTGATTATCTCTGTATCTTTTTCGTTGAAAGTGTTTGCGGTCAAAACTGTAATACACCGGAAAGTGCTGTCTTATGTACTAATTCATTTAAAATATTTAAAGTTGGTTTATTTTATAAATTCTGCTTTTAATGCTTTACTCTTTCAAAGCTATCCATACCTTAACTCCTTTTTGCCAGGATCTGGACATATTTTAGGAAAATACTATCCATAGACAATAGATTTATTGCTTCCAAAAAAGTACATTTAGTACACTCATAGCAACAAGTTTGGGTGTTACTGCAACTTGTTGACGATCTGTCAGCGGCCATGTTAGTTATTGAATGCCGCAAGATGTTCTTAAACGAAAGCTAAGATTTGCAATTGCAGATGTCGTTGGTTAAAAACAAAGATTTTAAATCTCTTACATGCCTCATAAGTAATTTTTCTAGAAAATTGATTTATTTTTATAAAGTTTTTTGCTATCGTCACAGACTACTAGCAGTCTTTTCTATTGTCCACCTTTGTCGTGTTTTCGTGAGAAAAATACTTACCCATTGCCAAACTTGTTGCGTTTGCAATGAAAACTGACGTACAAGTAAATAAAATTTCGCGTAATTTCTGCTTTAAGAAACCCGAGTGTTATTGTGTGTATTTTTCATTTAACAAACTTTTGATTTGATGTTCTATCAGTGGGCATGTTGATTGTTGCAGTCTTATTATTGCTCGAAAGCCAGTATTTATAGAGGTGTTGGTTAAAAGTGAGATTTTAAATCTCGTACGTGCTCATGTTGCCTCAAAGTTCCTGTATTTTTGGCCTATAGATCTTTAGCAGTTATATGAGGATAACTAACTTCTGAAGTTCAATTAACTTAATAAAAAATGCAATTAAATTAAATTATGCTTTTATTTTCAATAATAAGCAAAAATTAACATGTCTTCTGTGCTCTAGGTACGAAGTGCATATTGAACCTAACTTTGGGAAAATCCGCCAGTTTTTTTTCTTATGCACAACAATGTGTGCTTAGACTTAGTTTTATAGTCTAAAATTTGGTATAATGTCTTTGTTCGATAAATAAGCTAATATCAAAATATTCAAAAATTCGGAATAAACCCGTCACAGGCGACAAAGTAGGCAGATATTTTCCATCAACTATTGACGGGATCAAAGGCAGGAGAATCGAGACAGGATAGCTCAGTCAGTTTTTAGATTTTTAAAAACTTATACCATTTCTAATAAGATTTCAGAACTTATGGAGTAACGAGGGAACAGAATTCAAGCGTAAATTTTGGGCAAGTAAAGCAAAATGAATGGAAGCAAATTAAGCTTTGTTCAAAAAAATGCCTCCGTAGAACGTACTTTAAAGTGTGGAATAAACTAAAGAACTAAAGAATAGTCGTAGTCAAGTGAAAAATAAAATGACAAATATGAAATAATCAGGAAGGCATTTTTGAGTTTTTTAAATTACAAATTGCTAAGATTTATTTATACATTCCATAGAACATTGACATTTCATAGTCATTACAACAACCAAAACACAAAAAGCAGCAGCGAGTAAATAAAAACAAAAAAAGCACTCAGAGAAACTTGACAGTTCTTTACTTTAACCATACTGGAAACCTTGATCAGGACTGTGTCGTCATGACGTCACATCTGAATAGTGATATTCATGTATTCAAGATGATCTCACTGATTTAAATTCGTCTTCTAGCATATGGATGATGTCCAATTTTATAATAATTATCTTTTTTTTATAAATATTTTTTAATATATCCTGTCTACCTATCTGGATTGAGCGATCTTTGTCGCCTTCAACTGTAATGACAATCGATTACGTGCACTTTAAAACACTAACATTAAAATAATTTAAAAATTCTACTAAAAAAAGAAAAATTCCGCTATAATTATCTGCTTAAGTTTGTGACGTATATATGCTTTAGTTCGGTCTTGGGCGTATTCTCGAACAGGGCCGCTCTGTTCTGGCCCTCGCCCTTCTTAACCCAGTGTCCGTACACCCTAAAGGCGCAACCGTCGACGACCTGTAATGATTCGAGGGCAATTAAACACGTCCATATGAGTGAAATCCTTGTTCGCACCTTTCTCAGAAGCTTCACTCTGTAGGGGTCGATACGGGCGGTGTCCAAACTAAGGGGTTCAGGCGTAAATCGCAACCTCTGTATCCTTATCATCGCTCTGACAAACAGTATAGCCATTTGAAATTTTCGTCTCGGGTTGAATTTGCTCTGTTGCAGTTTCTACAATGAACACCACACTAAATAATGGGTAATTTACAGCAAAGCCTGGAATTAATGCTAAATCGTACAATGTGTCCCATTTTTGATGGGACATACTGTACAAATTAGGCGCAATAGTAAATTATTCGAGGATCTTTTGGAAATTTGGAAATAGTAATTGTCGAATACCCGGTTGCCTCTGGCTGGTCAAGCATTATTATTTTAACTTCATTTAATTTATTTTTGAAGTCTTGACATGTTCGAAGCCAGAATTATTTTCAAAATATGTGTAAAATAAACATTCGACTTGAGTGTGGTGACTTTTAAATCATACCGAATGCCGAAACATCAAAGATACACACGACATACCTAAAGAGGCATCTAGTTTGAATTTATATTTTTCTGAGAAGCCAATTTTTACAAAGTTTTTACTTCAAAAAAAAAAAAAACGTAAGAAGATAAGAATATGAACCGAAGCTAATTTGGACGTGCAGAACCTAAACCAACCATTTTCTGCAAGCAAAGTATAAATATTTCAATTAGACAGAATGAAAGTCTTTACACAATAAGACCCCGCTAAACACACAGCACTAAACGAGGCTATCTTAAGATTTAAATAATGGGATTAGGAGAAGACTGATTGAAAATTGGTTAAGTATTAAATTTAAAATTTGTTTTTTTTTTCAATTTTAATACGATGTTGCCAACCTATTATTAGCAAAAAATATTTCCTCTACATCGGCACTGAAAAGTGGACCTTAAGATATACAATGACGCATATCTAAGAGTTAAGTAAAGCGCAGAAGTAATATTACTTAATCATTCAAATTATTTATCAATTATATAACTCTTTGTTTTGGTGCGCCACTGATGTTTAATAATTTTTGAATATCAAATGGCAAAGAATTAAACATTTTTGTGCGTTCCTTTTTCTCTATCCGGATTCGCCTTCAAGAAAAAATTGAAAAACTGTATATTATATTCCTCGAATTGGGAAAAAGTCGATTTTTAACTTTAAACTTTAAAAATGATTTTCATAAAACAGTGTATGCATATTTGGGGCAATACAGGATTTTGATTGTCAAGATGAGTCATCAAAATTTTCCTATTATTAATTCTTTCACCTGGCTTTAATGTTCAAATTGCCATTATCACCTGATTAAAATGAAATGATATCAATATTCAAAAATTAAAAGGGACATATATTTAAAAGCTGTCTTTTACAACCATAGGCAAAGGTTGACGCATACCTATATCATGTCCAGATTTCCCAAGCTATTCACACATAAATATAAATCCTAGAATGAAGTATTGGACAAAGACAACATAAAACAAAATTGTTAGTATGTTGTGAGTTAAAACGCTACAAATAGGCAAAAAAAAATTAATGGATGGTTAAGACAAAGAATAAACCGTGATCAAAAGAAATTACCAATGTGAGTTCAGAAATGCGACTGTATCGCCTGGATGATTTCTTCAGGGACTCTTTTAACGACATTATATCCTGATCCCACAGATGCTAAAAGTGTGTGGTCTGATGAATGTGAATGACACGAGGAAATGAGAACGCTAATGTGTGCAACACTGATGTTCGGCCATGGACCACAGTTAAAACAGTTTTTAATTGTACACCAATATCGACACTTACCACTGCTTGGAAGAACTCGTGCCTGAGAGCTTCACTCACGGATATTCTTTGTTTAGGATCGACAACCAACAACTTCCTTATCAAGTCTTTTGGTGCTTCTGGAATTAAAATCAATTAACTTATATATAAAAATGTCTAATTAATATTACCTGAAATGTCAGCCCATTCTGGAGAAGTAAAAGAGTATTTACCATCCATTATGTTCCGCAGCATGATCATTTGTTTCCTGTGCCAAAATGGAGGACACCCGACTAACCTTGGGAGAAACAATGAACAGTGAATTTGGGTAATTTTTAACCAACGCCATACTTACAAGGTGTACATGATAACACCGCAGGCCCATCTAAAACAAAAATGAAACAAGCGTCTGATTACTGCGGAAGTGGCACATCAGGAGAGTTTATACCTACATATCAACTTCGAAAGAATACCCTGGGAAGTCTTCGAACATGTTGGTTTTCAGGGTTTCTGGTGCCAAATATCCAGGCGTGCCACACAAATCTAGAAAAAGGTTTTTTTTGATAACTTGCTCTTCCTTTGTAACTTTTAAATTTAAAAAAATGTAGTTACCATGTAACAGTTCCTCGTTTTCTAATTTCTTAGCAAATCCAAAATCAGTTATCTTAACATTTAAATTATCATCTAACAGAATGTTCTCGGGCTTTAAATCCCTGTGAACTACACCCTTGGAGTGGATGTGGTGGACGCCCTCAAAAACCTGCTTCATTATGTACCTCGTCTTTTTCTCGCTTAGCGCGACTACGGAGGTCAAATAGTCGAAAAGTTCTCCATGTTTGCATAGTTCAAAAACCAGGAAAATGAATGTACTCGACTCGAATACATCTTGAAGCTCAACTAAAAAGCAAAATCAACATCACAACAGCTAGACAATTTTGAAATTACTAATGTAGGGATGACCGGCAACGATCCGTAAAATTGAGATTTCTTGCCTGGTCGCTTCTAGTGACGAATCGTCATTACTTAAGTCGATAATTTTAGCGGCAAACTCCTTTCCAGTTTCCTTTTCAATACATCGTCGCACAGTGGACGAGATTCCTCTAAAAACTGTATATCAACTTCTTCTTGAGATATTTATTTTCAACTTACCGTCCAAGAATTTCCTTTGGCTCATATTTGGCATAAAACTCCTTGGCCGCGTCCTTGTCTGGGAGTTTGTCATACTCTTCCTCTTTAGCCATTGTTTTTATATTTAATATATGTCCCTGGAACACACACTTTCTTCTACTACTAAAAATAACTTTATGCTTCCACCTCAATATCAAGTAAAGGTTAAGCAAACTTTGGAAACGAATCAAATTAAAGCGCTTGGTCCCAATTGCATTGTGTCCGCAAAAATAATTGATTCGCCTATTGCGTTATTGTTGTCAACAATAGAGATTAATTTCCTGGGCTATTTATCTTTTTATTATAATGAAATGTGTCACCATATTAACCTTTAAATTAACCGTCAGATGACGATGACAACAGAGACCAAAAGCCAGAGAATAAAATGTTGGTTTGCTGACTACGGATGGTTATCGTGTTTGTTTAGTTACCTAAGTAAAAAATATATCAAATAAATTACATAAAATCAGACCATAACCATGAGATAAATAGCTCGATTGAGGTTGATTTTGAAAGTGAGCAATTTTTTTCGGCAGCATATAATGTTTAAACAGTCATTCAATTTAGGGTTAAGCTTCTTGGGCTTAAAAACCGTTAATAAACAGTATTCAAATGCTGAGACACTAGCTCCGATCAAATTGGCATTCGCAACATACGAGAAAAGCTTAAATGACGACAAACATGTACCTCCTTTTTTGATACTGCACGGTTTGTTCGGTTCCAAAAGCAACTGGGTAAGCTTATGTAAAGCCTACCAACAAAGAACATTACCACAACGGAAAGTAATAGCCCTGGACCTCCGAAATCATGGTGACAGTCCCCATTCTGAGAGTCACAGCTATGCAGATCTTGCGGCTGATGTTAAGCAGTTTTTAGTAGACCAACATATCCATAAAGTAGACCTGATGGGCCACTCAATGGGTGGGAGAACAGCTATGCTGTTTGCTTTGAAATACGTGGGTCCGATGGAATAAAATGTTCGTGCATTTTATATACCGCTGTTTTAGCCAGAACATGTGAATAAGTTGATAATAGTGGACATTTCGCCTGTTACCACGAGCCCAAATTTAAATCAAATGCCCGGGTTATTTACAGCTATGGAGAGAGTACAGTTGCCAAAAAATGTTTCAATGTCGAAAGCTAGGAGTACTGTAGATGCACAACTAGCAAAGTCTATTGCAGACCCAAATTTGAGAGCCTTTTTGTTGACAAATTTAGTACAAAAGGATGATGGGTAAATATAAAATATAGCAACTTCAATATAATGAAGTTGTATTGCTGATTGCAGTTATAGATGGAGGGTAAACATACCAGCCCTGTTGCAAAATTTTAATAATATTACCAGGTTTCCATTGTTGAATGATATGCAGTATAAAGGAAGCACCCTTTTCATTGGTGGGGCGAATTCGGATTTTATAGGGTAAGATAAGAACTGACAATGACAAATATTCCACACCCTCAACTGTCACCTAATGGCACTTGCTTCAAATTTCTGTAAAATTTGTTTCTCTTTGTTTGTATCTAAGTTTCGGGCAGCCAGTATTAGATGCAAATCAGACTTTTCAGCCGAAACTGAATTTTTGAAGTATACTGTCGAACTCTCGTACTCTTCGTATCAAAGTACAGAGTCGATTTTAGCAAAAGAAAAGCCCGACCCTCTGGTCATATTGCATGGATTGTTGGGATCCAGATCCAATTTTAACAGTCTGTGTAAGAAGTACTGTGATAATGAACATTTTAAAAGACAAGTGAGTAGAATGGAGTCTCATCTTTTAAGTAATGGTATTGAGTATTGCTCATTAGTTATCTATAAAGACTTAAGCACCATCTACAAATGTGATAGAATAGATTTAGTATTCGCTATCTCTAAGATCCCCTGAATCCCAAGTTTTCATGTGGATATTTCCACATTTCCATTGTTTGGGCAATACATTCGTAACCCTGTATAAATTTTACCAAGGTATATTTCACATGATATTATTGTCACGAGTTAAATCCGGCATTCCTTTTTGCCACATTTATAAAATCAGGGACCACACTGTATTAGAATTTTATTACTTTTTTATCGTTACCTATAATAAAAGTGATTATTTTAAAGGTTTTTGCACTCGATCTCAGAAATCACGGGGATTCGCCCCATTGCGATGATCAGTCATATGACAATGTGATCATTGATCTGCTGAGGTTTTTTCAAAGATTGGAACTGCATAAAGTGTCAATACTCGGGCATGACATCGGCGGACGGGCCGGAATGTTATTTGCGTTAAAATATGTAACCATAGTATATTATATATCTCTTTTAAGATGTTTAAAAGATGTTTTTTTAGCCGGAATTGGTGGAGAAGTTGATCGTGATCGATATGTCGCCAATAACTACAAGTCACAATTTTACATCTTTTGCGGATATTTTGTATGCCCTGAGTAAAATGTCTTTCCCTTCAAATTTGCCTTTGTTAGAGGCGAGGGCGTACGCCACTGCTCATTTATCTAAAGTAATCAAAAGTAAGGGGATTATGAATTTTATATTAATGAATTTGGTTCAGAAAAGCGATACGAGGTACGGATTTTACTATCTAGGATCACTTAAATTCTAGATTGTTACAGCTATACCTGGAGATTCAATGCGAAAACTCTGCTAAAAGATTTCAAGGAAATTTCGACATTCCCCGTAGTACACAACATAACTTTTGAGGGACCGGTTTTATTTGTAGGTGGCGCGAAATCTGACTATATTCAGTGAGTGTGGTGGTTCGACAGAAGAGGGTGTAGAATTTTTATATCAAAATATTGCCAAATACAAAATAAAAATGTTTTCTTTGACTTTCAGGAAAAGCGATTATCCCAAAATTCTGAAGCTGTTCCCTAACGCGGAGCTGAAATATATCGAGGGGGCTGGTCACTGGGTTCACTCCGAGAAACCCAATGAATTCCTCAGTCTCACTTTAGAATTCCTAAATAAAGACCAAAGCGCTGTAAACTAAGAATTCCTTGTGATATATTTTAGATAAATATTTGTTGTAACATTCATTGCAGTAATCCTTTCCTTTAAGAAAGCCTCAAAGTAGAGACTTAAAACAGCACTTCATGGATATGTAGATACATGAAATATGCGTAAATTAACAACCTATACTACCTCTGTCTTTTTTGCAGACATTATTAGGTATGCTATTCTTTTATGAGTATTTATTACTGTACATGTATAAGTACATTATATTTCCCAAATCCCTAAATTAACTTTTGCTGTTCACTTGCCCCTTGACTTTTGAATGGTGTATGTGAATATTATTGACATTGACATTGGCATTGAATACGTAACAACTAATCACAGGAACGATCTATCCTCAACAAACTGCACTTATGTTGTGGTTAATCCAGAACCATAGACTTAATATTCGAATACATTAATCATCGGTAGTAGGCGAGTATCCATGACTATAAAGATGGACCCGCAATTTATGATGTCGATTGATAGGCTTATTTTTATAGAGTACCTTACCTTACCTTTACTAAAGGTAAGGTAAGTTATTTAGTAACACAAAATAAGTAATCGTAATTTTTATTTGTTTTATATCTTTCTGTTAATATTTTTGTAATGCAGTTTTATTTTTTAGGACTAGTGACATTTGACCATATAAAAACAATAAAACAAGGATAGTGCCAAAAGAAACTAATACCAATAATATTATTATTAATTATTTGTGGCCCTGTGTTTTGTTTCATTTTGTATTCCATCGAAGATTTTATATAAATTATTTTGAATCTAACTAAGTAGTAAATGTTTTTTCTCTTACAACTCGTTCTACAGTACTATAACTGCGAGAAACATCACGCGCATTAGTGTCATTTCTAATTAATTGAATATCCTTGTAAGTATATCCATATTAATGAAATGCATATGATCCCCACATTCCATATAATTGAAATTTGACAAACCGTATGTTTATTGTTCCCGTCCTTTTCAGTTGGAGGGCATTCTTTTACATAAAAAAAGAATATATTTTCGTTCTGTGATTTGTAATCCACCTTTCCCATTTTGGTATGGATCTGTGGACCCGTAATTCCTAAAATTGCGACTCCGCTTAATTTGTTTGATCAATATAACGTAAATAAGGAAGGAAATTATCGAACGAGGTGGCTCAAAAATGTTAAAATTCATTGATTAATCAATGTATGGGTGAGTACCGTCGAGCCTTGCGATATGTTCTCAAACTAACCTAAACCCTTAGTTCTCGCAAAGAACGGGCTGGGAAGAGTACCACAGACTTGAATGCCTGTTGACAATGAATTAAGGAATTACTGAGTTCTGAGTTATTTGGATGGATAGGTGACCAGTGTGTGCTTCCCACATAGGTTAAAAGAGCCCCGACAAATTAGAGGGACACAGTGAACAACTAGGACCAAGATTTTTCAATCTGCGAGGAAGAATACAGTTCTATTGTAGGATAACCGCAGCCCCAGCAGATTCTAACTCCCTGTTGGTAGAAGATAGAAGAATGATCAGGTGGTTGTTATAAAGTAATGGGCCGTAGGGGGCTGCGGCCCGGTGTACACCTGTTCATCTTAATATTGTATATTTTGTATGTAAATGTTTTCTAAGACTTCACTGTTTTTTTGTTATGTGGTGCCATCTCTCATTAAACTATGGGACTAATTAGTTGGGGTAAGGACTTGTAGAGGGAGCGTATGTAAAGCAGTTGTGGGGATTTGATCACTGGTATTCTTTTGGCGCCTGTTTTTTGGTTGTCTGGCCGGTAGTTTATCGGACGGACTGACATAGAGAGGGGTTAATGGCGATAAGAAGAGGAGACACGTTTTTATGTAGTTGCGGGAATCAATCCTGTCGTGTGAGTTTTCGAGTTTTTATCTGATCGTAATCGGACGACACCCACCCGGGCCCTACACAGTTATTTCCTTCCTCGATTGTAGTGCCATCTCTCGTTAAACCATCGAACTAATAAGCAAAGTTTGCGTTGGTAGCGCCATCTCTTGTTAAAGCGGAGGACTATTTAGTTGGGGAAAGATCGCATAGATGGCGCGCACAAACCAGATAGTTTAGGCTGCAGCGGTATCTCTTGTCGGACCAGGCAATCATTTAGTTGAGCCAAAAAGCCACAGATGGCGCGCACGAGGCAGTTGATTCCGGATGTGGCGCTACCTCTTGTCGAATTGCGAAACTATTTAGTTGGGGCCAAGAGCCACAGATGGCGCCAACAAAGCATTTAATTGTGGGCGTTGAAATAATTAAAACGCGCTAACTAAATAGTTGAGAGAAGTACGCGTTATGGCGCGCACCCGCAGCTGTGGAGCCACCTTTCTTTGGGACATTGAACCAATTACTTCAGAAAAATACCAATAGATGGCGCGCATCGCTCATTAATTCGTTTAAGTGCTTATCAGGAAATTATTGTTCCAAAAATACACACATCCTAATTAGATGCAATTTATTTTATATAATAAACGAATTCACCATAAACGAGTGGTCGTTTACGTTTATGTGCGGAACAAAGAATGCGCACAACCAGGAATCCTATGTTGATGACTTGTCTGCGTTTCCAAAAATTGGTTGTCTTCACTCCTAAACATAACATACATTGCGTGAATATGAAAAGATAAGCAGAAATCTCAAACTAAACGACGGACATCTGGTAAGATTAAATCTGGGATTGAAAAATAAATATCATATAATACAATGTGCTGCAAAAAAAACATATTTTTCTCATAAGCTTAACATTATTTCCCAGATCATTTTGTTCTGATCTAAATGAAATAATAATTTTCAATTTTTCAATGTCGTTATTCTTTATGGTCAAACCAACCTCCCTAGGTGCTGGTATATTTGAAGAATAGCAACTTTGGTTCATATGTAGTACAGTTCAGGTAACTTCACAATGCAAAGGATTTTTGTTTTGACTCTAGCAGCACACAGAAACTGAAACTTTCAACATTCAAAAGTGTATTATTATTGTTTCATTCAGTTGTAATCAAAACAAAATTAACTTCAAAATGAAAAAAATGTGCGAAAAATATGTTTAATCTGCCCCACCGTGTACACACAATAACTCCTAAGGCTAAAAAGCGTTTTTTTTAGCAGCTTAAATTCCAAAAAAGGCAGTCGTCCTACTCGATAGGTTGAAAACACGGATCAAAGTCCTGAGCAAACTGCAAATTTATAACAATAGTTTTGTACACATCGTCACGCTAATTGCAAAACTACCAAAATATGGAGATTATAAAAATCCATGGCGTTCTAATTGAACTATATTAAACGTTATTGTTTTCAATCTAACTGAGTAAGTAGATATTATTGTCCAAAAAATAAAGCACTGGTCGTTTTACAATTAGGCTGACATTGTTCGAGCCTAAATATTAAAATAAGTTCCATGTTTACTTCACTTACCGGAGAAAGGAGAACCATGCTCGACTGCCTAAAATTGTATGCGTCCATGCTTCACAAAACGACCGACGTGTATCCTAATTTTAATCACTTGCTAGAAGCATTTTTCAGTTCTTTTTCGCAAAACAAAGTTCTAGACGATGACCTTTGCTCTGTTTTTCGTTGCCGAAGGCCACTGTCTAGATGCACTGCTTAGCTGTCTTCTTCTAATTAGTTGCACAAATACTTGGGCAACATCATTATGATCATTCGCCCATTACCAACATCCAACGAGGTTGTTAATAGTGAATGATTACTTTTTTTTGGCGGTTGGTATTATCCTCAATAGTTAGACGACAATGTTGACTGTTCATCCGAGTACGCTCTCAAAAACAAAACAAAGTTTTGTAACGACTGTAATCTGTCCTTGCGGTTCGACAGTCGACTATCAAAAAACAATATGCGAAAACTAAAACATAATGCTCGTTTGGGGTTATTCCAAATCTAGTCGTTAACATATGCTTATAGGGGTTCATTGTTTAAAGAAATTTTTGTTCGCTAAGTAAGTATATTTGTATAAATTAAACACAATAAATAATACCTTTACAGCATTCAATCAAAAAGTTTAAGGCACGACATCTTTACCTGTATTTGGAAAATACTTATCGCAAGTAACACTATATACACTGGCATCGGTTATTTAAATAGTAAGTCTTACGTCCTAACGGAATTTAACAGCCGTAATCTTCGATTTTTAAGTCGAGCTAATACTCGACACGATTTGCAGAAGAAACAGACTTGACTATACTTCTTCTCGCACTTCTATAACAATGGTTACTGCTCATCAAATATGATAATATTTAAAGACACACTAGATTCCCATAATAATACTATACAAAATAAGTAAGATAAAAAAGCACAATGAGAGCCGTTAAATATTGCAAAATATGGCAACATCTAACGGCCTTCGTTTCAAACCCTATATGGAATTATATACAGTGAAAATTCAAACCCGATGCGTTAAACTAAGCAACCAAAAGTGTATCGACTAAAAATCACCAGATGTGTGTAAAGTGGCCAATATTTCACTATGTACAAGAATTTATTGAGAAATTGTGGTCCAATAGTTTGACTACTCTTAATTACTATATACACGACATGTATACAGATGGATTAAATCCAATTTCCTCACTTTTTGACGACCCACATCTACATTGAGCAAAACGACAAATCCTAAACATAAATTGTCGAATCTAATAGGATCTCATAAACGCAGTTCTGATCCAGACCGATATGTATGTTCAAATTCAATTTCGGAGGCACGTGTCGGTATGGAATGTAATTTTTTTATGGAAAGGCACTTCTTTGAGCTTAACGATTATCCATCTGTTCGTACGAAACGCACGTCTACAGTGCTTGACGGGGGTCGAATATCCAACGGCCGAGTTTAAGCGGTCATTTTGTTACCATTCAAAACAAAACTTCTTACGAAAAATGAGGTTACTAAAGTTCGTTTTACTATTGTGCAGATTTTCAAAAACTTCTTTATTAGCTGAATTTACTTCCTTTTGCGGGCTATGGTTAACTTTATTAAGTTAGTATATAGTTTTTTTCCAGCTTTGTAGGCGATATGCAAATTAAGTTTAAACTTAAGTGGCTTTCTTTTTTAAAGGTTAGGTTTGTCCAAGACCGGACTCAGGCGATCCCCAAAACTTTTGCCGTATGACGAGTCGTTCAAAGAAGCAAATAAATCCGTTACTATTTAGTAACTTTTAGTTTTGGTCTAGAATTGTTTTTATTAGATTGTGACCAAAAAGATTGAAACTTTTTTTTCCTAAGGTTTGGGATGTTAAAGCTAAACGGTATGTTCATAGAACATTTAGCCACTAGTTTTAAACCAATATAATATTGTAATCAGTTTAGAGTTTTCTAGTTTTTAAAATTCAAATGGTATATCAAATAAAATGTTAATTATTCAACATAAAAAACAAAAAAGACGTTTTTTAAACACTGATTTTAAAGTATATTGGCATTGATAACTTAAAGTGTTCTTTATTTTATATAGAGTTATTTCTATACATAAACAAATGTATTAAAGAAAAAAAAAATGTTCCCCGAGTTTGTAAAAAAACTTTAAACAAGAAAGTTTGAGATTTTTTTACGTCCTCTGGGGTTGGGTTTTACTAAAAATACCAAAAAACATTGAACGAAACATTCATCGGCAAAGCAGATTTTTTTTTTGACAACCTGTAATTCTATTTTACCCCGCCAAACACTGCGGCGCAATTCACACAAAACTATATCACAAATAAACTAAAAATAAATTTTACCTAAAATAAAAATAACAGTCAGTATTTCGCTTAGGATAAAAGGACTCAAGTTTTAAGTTCGGGAAGATGTTGGCGAAAATTTAAACAAAACTAAATCTAAAGTCCGTCGAAGAAATAATTTCGGGCGAAATAAATAATAATAGTAATAATAATAATAGTAACAAGGGACCTAGAAAATTCAAAGAAGACATATATATTTAACAACTTGGCAATCGGAGAGATTTGCCTGTCTATACCAAGATACGTAAACACAATTTGTGAATATATTCTCCGATGGTTTCACTTCTCACAGTAAAGTGTTGCTTGCTAATGTTATATTTGTAATTTTATGTGAAGCTAAATGAGAAACAGCAATTACATTGGTCAATACATTAAGTTAACTGATATAAATGAACATTTTTTTTATTCCTTGGTTAAAGGTAAAGGTAAAAAATGTTGGTTGTTTAGTTCGATAACAAAGTGCAATGGCAAATTATTTCAAATCTCCAAATTTTAACAGATCTGAGATCGAAATGATGACATTTTAAATGCTCATGATTTATTGATTAGAAATAGCATGGACGAAATGGAAACAAGATACAATGCAGGTAGGTTTTAAACATAATAATTAAGTCGTTTGTGTTGAATAGTTTCAATTTAATTGTAGCGTTTTTTAGATTTTCCATACAATAATATTTTTTTCTAGGTAACCAAAAAGCTAGGGGACTCGGGATATCCACAGAATTCATACCTGATAACCCCCCCCCCCCCCAAGAAATGCTTATCTTGGTACGCCTGGGACAAGATAACCAGCATATACTGACAAGAACATGCTTCGAGCGATGCATTGGGTTTCCTGAAGCAAGATTTAGATGTGTGTAGATGTGACAAAAGACTAACATGCGATCTATACGTTGTTAGTTGCATGGTAAATGCATGTTCGGTATTGCATAATATTTTTATTACGACTAGGTTAACCTAACATAAGAAAATTAAGAAAATATTATATACCAACTCTTGTATATTCCGATACAGATAAAGTACTATTTAATGAGAGAAACGATATGACAATCGACAATCAGTTTCAACATTAAACGATTAAAAAATCCAAAATCCCCAACTTTTGATAGTCGATTTTCCTTTCCATCGCTGTTCGATTAAAATATCTAAAATCCCCATTTCTGATTTCAATTTCCATCGCTGTTACCTAAGAAACCGCTAGCGATATCGGCAAAATCGGAATCCCAGTGCTGGGTCGCCGAGTGATGTCACCGCCTAGTATCGACGCGGTAATCTATTGTGTTTACGGATCTTGGGTCTATACACTGATCGCAGTTTTTCCGCCAATTACTATTACCTTTTTCTTACCGCGTTATTACTTATATCGCTATTACTAAAGAAGCCCAATTTGCGCAGCGTCGAGCTGACCCGCGATATCAACGGCTCCTTGTACTTCCATATGGTCGTGTCCATCACGGACGTTTTCCTAAACTCCTCGCACGTTTTCTTCAGCGTCTTTACACAGTCGGCCCTGCAAGCAGCTCCATCATTATACAGGGTGTTTAAACAAGACGCGACAACATTTAAGATCATTGAATGAAAAAAACTGCCCTTACGTTTTTGAGGTTATGTTGTTGCGAAACCCCCTTTGTTTATCTACTAGCGACAACAAAGTATTATTCGTACCATTTTATCGTATTTAAATTGCGGAAACACATTTTATTTGAATCTACTATTTTGAAGGCCTATGCAAATCTAAATAAAATGATTTTCCGCAATTTTGCTTTGCTTTATTGTCGCTAGTAGATAAGCAAAGGGAGTTTCGCAACAACATAAAAAAACTATAATTTTGCACGTAAGTGTATAAAATAATTGAAATATCTTCCCACGTAATTGTTTCACATTTGGTAGCCTTATTTCTGGTGACAAGGGGCCCATTTGGCCTTGGCCAAATAAAAATTAAATAGCGGCTTCAATTTAATTTCGATACTTCCCTCAGACTTAAACTACTACTTTTTCGTATCTTGAATTTTTCTGATATCTTGCTTCGTCTACGTTAAACTATTCAGTCAGTGGCGTACATTTTAATTAAGAAATTTTATAAAGATTTTTTGTAGTTTTTAGTTTGCTCACCTGTAGTGCTGCAACTGCGCATCGGTCGTCTCTATGGGGTAAGTGGTGCAGCCGCCTGCTAAGCAGCTTAAAGGAAAGTGATTGTGTAACGTGAGCACTTTTTCGGTGTTGTGGAAGCATTTCACGTATTGTCCGGGCTTGGTAAAGTTTTTGGTCCTGTAGACGTGCTGCAGCATATGCATATATTTTGGAATTTCTTTAAACCACCTGAAAAGAGAACGTTTACTTAAGATTATATTTTTAACATTTTATTTAACTGAAGTAAAAACAAATCAAGAATAATAGTTCTTAGTTACATTTTCATTTAATGTTTCATAAAAAAAATACAAAAGTAGTAGAATATAATATTACGCAGAATTAATTATACATATTTATTTATATAGGTGTACAAAAAAAGCACAGTATTTTAAAGTTATATTAAATAAATAAATTAAATTTACTCCCAACAATGTTAACACCAATTACAGGACAAATAATAACTAGCATTTAATTACTACTAGAAGCAATAGTAGAATAAACAATAGTTTTTAAATTTGAAGTTCTGTACGATTTCATAAAAAGAAAGGTCATTTCATGCATATTTCAAAAATATATAACACGTTATAGGTATTTTTTTACATTAAGGTCAGAATTAACACAAAATAAAAACATCACCTAGTTGGCATTGCACTTTAATTATGATTATTGTTCAACATTAGATAAAAGAATAACGTTTTCTTGTTCGTTGTATATTAAAAAAATGAAAAAATTAAAATAGAACCAAAAAATACAAATATACAGGGTGTCCAAATAGTGTGTCAAAGTAATATACCTCCTTTATTATTTGTTTTAGAGAAAAATGTTAAATACGAAAGTTATAAATGAGACCAAACAATAATTCAAAACAATTTTAAAATATACATATTTTAAAATGGAACACACTGTATATTATGACATTGATAGATACCTCCTTTTCCATCCAATCACCCAATGTAGAGCTATTATGGTCTGTACTGAGTTTTTTCGGATTTATGACCATTTTACAATATTTATGTTTTACAAATATAGTGTTAAACACAGGAAATTTTTGACGAAAAAATAATCATATATTCGAAAACACTGCATAACTAGGGTATTCTATTTAAAAATATATGTTTGCTTTCCCACAAATTTAAGAATCACCTTGTTTATTTGAAAAAAATGTGAAATTGCTTCTTTAATTTTTGTCTATAACTTATACATAATTATTTAATGCCATCTATATTGTCATGCCGAGCAAAACAAATTTTGTTTTTTAAATACCCCTACAAAAAAAAATCTGGAAGAGTAAGAAGATCTGGGCTGTTGCCCAATCCGAACCGGATATGTATAAACAGACAAATAAATAAATAAATATTCAATCAACAGCATATGCTGCAGCTGTCATAATTAAATAAAAGACGAGTTAAGTGAACATCTTATTTTTGGCTAATTCTAGTCTTAATGTAAAAAATAACTATAATATGATATATACTGCCAAACCCTTGTATATAAATAGGCGTATGACATTAAAACCACATATAAATCTTTGAACTTTTGCATTTAACTTTTTTTTCTAAAACAAAAAATAAAAAAATTAGAAAGGGGCAACATTTGTAATAGACAACCTCTGCACACTAAATAAATGATCATAAATAATGGAAAATAAACTATCGTCTCAAAGTTGGGTATATAGAGCTAACTGTTCAAAAAAGCATATTGGAAGTTAACAAATAAAATTAATATTCTAGAATCCGGACAAGTCACTTATCCGGGCAACCCCTTACCATTTTAATTATTAACTTTAATTTTTATTTAATTTGAAAAAGAATGTCGAACATCTAGGACGTCTTCACAAAGTACAGGGTCCAAAATTAACAAAAAAGTTTGCTATATCTTCACGGGATGGTCCGTGCTTGAAAACTAACTCCTTCAAATGAACCACGGGTTATAACGTGAGGACACCTAGGTGGTCAGTATAAGTAAATCTCACTAGCAATATTTTGGAAGAAAAAATAAAGACAATTAAAATTTAATAACGACGTGTATACGGAAAATATCTCCCAGTCTGGATTTTTTCAGGTTTTCAATTCTTTTTCTCAAAATGTAGGTTAGGAAACAGAGACATTATTTTCACTGGAGTATTAGGGCCTCAGTTGGCTATCTTTTGTTATTAAAAAAAAAAGATTAATCAATATCTTGCTTTTTTTACAGAAAATAGCACGTATTTGTAATTATGCATAAAAACATTCGCCATTTACAAAAACGTTGATAGCATAGCAAAAGTTTTTAAAACGGCTCCAAATTTGTTTTGAAGTTACTGATAATAAAAAAAAATCGTACCCCCCACCCCCGTAATAAATAGAGCAAAAAGTTTTTTTACAAAGACTAGAATTTACTTGTCTTGTGAAATGACGTGCATAGGTACATTTAACTTGTATTTTGAAATTTAAATTGTCCGCATTATGTGGGAACCCTTTTCATTGGTTGAACTGTCAAATGAAACAATAGATTCTGATTGGCCGGGTCGGAACAGGATGGGGAAACACTTTTGAAAGAAAATTACGAAGTATTACGGGAAAAACCTTTTTTCCTTAAAGTTAATATATAAAAATTTTTCCATTTGGTAAGAACTTATTAAAACACAGTGAATTTGAAATCTTCGTCGAGTGTTACATTCTTACCCGTGGTCGTGTATTAAATCGTCCAAAAAGTAAACGTTTCGGACGTTGTAGGACGCGCGTTCTTCCTTGTTGCCTTGTAGCGCCTTCGGCAACACTTTGTCCATCAAATCTTTCCACGTCGCGCCTTCCAGAGGCATAATGACCTGGAATTTAAAAAAAAAACGAACCAATATTCAAAAATTCTGCCGAAACAATGGGAACCACTCACCTCGTCGATGTCCAACAGAGCGATGTACTTATACTCGTACATATGTTTGTAGAAACAATCATTGTACGGTACCACCTCGTTTTGTCTCTTGTGGTTCGTTTTCTTCGTTAAGTACAAATGCTGGAAGGCGGGTGCATTCGGCTGAGACCCGGCGAGAGTTATCGGCGTCACCTGAACTTTCCCCTCCTGTTCGTAATGTTTTAAGATCTTGGTGATGTTTGGGTGAACCTGCAGCTCGTATAAGAATATCTTGTCCGCGCCCAACAAGTGAAGCAGCTCGATCCACTCCACCAGCCTAACGGATAAGTCTTCGTGAAGGAAATCCAATCCCTGAGTACGACATTTTCCGTGGTTAAACATGAAATGGTCTGTCTATATAATATATAATAAGAAAAGCCTTTATGAGAACTGTCGAATTTTGAGATCCGAATAAACTGATCGGCAATTTAGTATAATTAATTTCGCGATAATTTATCAATAGTGTGCTGGTCAATAACTGTGTTGTAAATTTTGGAATCGGAAATGAAACGACCTACCTAATTATATAACTTACAAATAATGAATTTTAATGGATATATGTTGTCAATTATCCTGCTTTTCTTATTGTTTACACATTTTAGCTCTTTTGTGCAATCTATTAGATTATTTCTTTTCATGGTTTGTAACGTGTAAATCGTTAATTAAAATTATTATTACTAAATATTAATAGTACCAATATGTTTATTTGAGACTGCCATAAAATTTTAGATTGTAGGTTATATTTTCATTTTCATTAAAATACTCCAATGCGTTGTTTCATTTAAAATTCAAATACGTACCAAGTACTAATGTACTAATTAAATAGTACATTATTGATCACCAAGTCTTTTAAACAGCTTGATATAATTAAAAAACGCACCAAAACTGAAACAAGCCCAAAAAATATGGAGGTGCTTTTCAGTAACAAACCGTTGACAGTTATCAACCAAAATGTCGGATACTACGTCCTCACTAGTTATTTCTGGTGATCTTACCGGAATTTACTTGAGTAAATGACTTAAAAAAGTTACGCTTAAACTGACGTCAAATTAAGATTAAGGTTAAACCGGGATACGATTTCCGGTAAACCTTTATCATTTTCTATATAGCCTGCTACATTTTTTTCATATTTTTTACATTACTGCCAAAAGTAATAACGTTTTCATGATAATTTTGAAGTGGCAACCACTGATGTACCTAAAATGAACACATTGTTTTGGCATGTAAAATTGCTATTGTTGTGACATTGTTACAATAATTTAAGAAAACCTTACAACTAAAAAACTCGCTAGCACAAAAGTATCTCCTGCGGCAAATCGATGACATTTGGTGACTGCAGTTAAAATTTCCCCATCTACTAAATAGTTGAACTGCAGGATTACCCAATTTAATGCGTAATATGTATTATATCCACTATAAGAACGATACAAAAATGAAAACATAACAACTTAAAATAATAATAATAATAATCAAATCATTGTTCAGGTTATTTTGTTTGATTTTACTCCATAAAAAAATAAACGACCAAACAGCTGACAAATTAAAAACAAACCTAGATTAACCTGCTAATCACAATTAAGTACGCTGTGACGTCATGGGTTCCTATGCAAGAAAATGCCGTTTCTAAAAAGGGCGCTCTATTTGACGAAAGCTTAGATAAGAATTGTCCGGCTAGATATTTTTCAGAACTAACCATTTCGTCCCTCCGCTCCGGACTATAATATATTTTTAACCTGGCTGTTCATCATCATCTCTGCAATTTGTGTTGTTTGATGTGTTTAATAATCATATGCGTTTTGTGTATTGTTTTGTTCATTGTTATGGTTAGTTTTATATCATCATTTGTCTCGTGAAGATTGGTTTACAACAATTACATTCCGGGCCAATTTCATCTGTTCATTTACCAGGGTTATTTACAATCGAATAATAAAACCTATTTCCATTGCGATTTTTGCTCTATAGATTTCTGTAAAATCTGCTGACTAGAATTTTGGTCTTTTCCTATCCATTTATAATGCTTGTGTTGCAGAATAGTTCCAGTTACGATCAATTACGATCACTTCAGAAATGCTACATGGTTCTGAGTATGGATTTTTTCAATATTACCTTCCGAAACTTGAGTATTCATCTTACCTTCACGCAGACTGCAAAGTCCTTTTTGGTTTTGGGCTCGCTATGAATGACTTTCAAATTGTTTGTGGCGTTGTCGCATTGTTTCTCGACCAGCGAAATGGACTGGGGCACTTTGGTTTTGTAGTTTTGGGGTATGACGCAGGCTGTCAAATACGGCTGATAGATGCCCTGTTTATAGTTGCCCCATTTTTTGTACCTGAAAATTGAAAATGGGTATTCATTTTCCGTGTTGCGTCAAAACTACACATTATAACTGCTAAATTATGATTTTATATCTTAGACTTAAGTTGGCAATGTCTATTTTGTATTCTGTGCCTTTTGGTTGTGGTCTGTGTTTTATTTGACCAGAAACTAAAAGGAACAACAGAACGGGTGGGGCTAGCAGACACTAATAATGCAGGAAATGGAAATGTAAAATCTATAGAACATAGATATCAAAATGGTTTTTTTGACCTCTTCGTACTTAGTCTATCGATATCACTTCTGTTTTTAATAAGTGCCCTTTGCCTAGGGTTTTTCCTGTCCGTTGGAACCAAGCTAAAGTTATACCCGTCATAAAGAAAGAGTGTCAAAGGTTGTTGGAAAATGGCGGCTAAACAACTTGTGCAGATTTTATGCGATAACAAAATGCTACCAGAAATTCGGTAAGGTTTTCGATTCACAGCAGTATTTCTGCCTTGCTTTATGTTACTGATGAGTTGGTGAGAGCAGCTAATTAAAGTTTAAAGATAAAATTAAACTCTTGACTTTCGGACTATAGCAAAACGGTGGACACCGTGGCACCTTTTAGCTAAGCTGAAGTACTTTCATCCTCAGACACACCAAAGGGTGGTTATAGGAAATTCTTAGTCAGATTCGATTGTTTTGGAGAGGGATTTTCCCCAGGGGAGTACTCTGGGACCTATTCTGTTCTCAGTTTACTTTTCTTAAATTTAGTAGAAGCCATCAATAGTGAAGTTTTAAATCCTGGTACCAAAATTAAATTACCACCAACTTGCAGATGTTATTATTTGGAAATAAAAGTAAAGAAATTGTAAGAAATTTTAAGGAACGCCTTTTAAGATTATGGTAAATTATCAGATTATCTCTTCTTCGGTTTTAAATAGTTTTCTAAACACGTTGGTTCAATGTTACAAATATTCATAAAAATCTTCTAAGGAAGTTGAACTTAACCAGTTTATTGTTATTATTATCTCTCTTATCTTATTAACGATCTCCGCATTATACCAAAACGCAAGTAAAAGACGTGGAACTGATGGAGAGTCTATAAGAAAGCTTACAAAGCTACCTTGCAACACTGAGAGACTGCTTTATAAGAGGAGACCCAATTAAAACCTGCAACCTACTATACCTGTTATTTAAACATCTTAGAAACCCTGTATAAATAACAGGGATTAGCTGGAGAGCTTTCTTATTATTTTTCTACCGATATAAGTAGAAGGAATACGTAAGTTCACTATCCTCCGTCTCCCGGAGCAGATTGGATATGTCAAAATATCAAGTACAGATTTCCCTCTAGGTAATCAAAGAATTCGGATCCAGTTTCGCCGCCCATTGGATAGATGGCAGCACAGTTTCGATGTTACGAAATATAGAACTTATGAAACCCGGAAACATTTGAAGCGGAAATTTAAGATCTCAGAAATTTTGACAATTTTGAGGTTTGGCTGTCCATACATTGTCTCTGTTTAAAGAGATTAAAATGGCTTAAACGGTGACTCACCAGATATACTTGTACTCGAAACTCTTTGTGATCACGGGATCCTTTTTCCCGTCGAACCAGAACTGACAGTAAGTCGTCACTGTCGGTTCGATTCGATCGATCATGCCCAAAATCCTGACCGTGGGTCCCAGTCTGTTATTTTTCCGCCTATCCAAATAAGCCCCGTACAGCTGGAAGGTGCCGTTGCTAGTGTGCAGGGTTTGCCAGTAGATGTTGTTGAATTCGATGTCCAACAAATTCGGAAACCTGCAAAATATGGTCGCTTCGATCCGAAAATGGCACAAACTTCCAAAACGAATATTTTTTTGTTGTCTATTGGGTACGTTTATATTACTTCTTTTATAAAACGTAAAATCCTATCAACCTATCAAGGTTCTTTTTAGCGAAAAACTTTTAGTCCCATATAATAATAATTATAACTTAACTGCTTATTCAGTACTATAAATTAAAAATAATACATCACATTTAAAGTATATCTACAAAATAAACAAATGAAAACTCTCCCTAAAACTCTTAAGTTGTGCGGGATCACATTTCATAAATTTACCCTGTTGCGTATTTCTGAACAAACAAATATTAATTAATTTTTTTTCTTGTATATATACATATTTTTTTCTAATATTCGTTTATTTCTTGCCCTTATGCATTTATATGCATTTTTATTTATTGCTTCGAGGCTTACAGATAGAGTACCTGTTTTTAAAAGCACTTAATGATGTTTACATTAGAAATATCTCATAAATCTTTATCTAGGAAATTATAAAAATAACCCTGTAAAAATGTGTAAAATCTTTGGCCTATTTATTTTTTACTATTATGTGTTACCACACTTCTCTTTTCTCTATTTCTTGTATTGTTAGAATGATTTATATTTTGTAGTTCGGTTTTGTTGTTGTAAAACGACTTTTAAGATACTACTCGCTATCATAAAATACCATATTGTAAACATGTGCATAATAACACGTTAATATTTGGTATATTATAGTAAAAACACCTAATTTTTATATTATTTATTATTTATATTATAAAACTTTAAACTGTTTTTTAGGGTGATAAAAAGGCCGAGAGAAAATAAGAGAGTGAAGAACAATAAAGCTATAAAGAAGAGAATGAAAAAGACACAGCATGTGGACAAAAAGAAAGAGAGATTGAGGAAGACAATATTACCAAGCAAGAGCTAATGGAAGTAGAATTAGAACTTAAATAATTAAACACCTGGGTGAAAGCGGGTCACAATTTCTAAAACAGCTAAAATTAGGGTGGCTGGAAGAAAAAATACCAAAAATATACCAAATACCAAAATACCAAAAAATACCAATTATACACATACCTACCTACACTTTTGAGAATTACAAGGAAAGGAAGATGATTAAGGACCATGTGTCCTGTGTACTGGTCGCATGACAGAAAAAAGATAGCACGTTTAGTATTTATCAGAGTACCAAAAATTTTTGCTTTTGGAAATGCTTAAAGGTAGGAAAGGTCATAAGTTAATTAATGTAGCCAAAAGTTTATGTAAGACACCAAAAAACCATTGAGTTCTGTGTTATTTATCATCTTTGTGGACCAAATAATTAAAGTTGCAAAACAGAGATTGTTATCATATACTGAAAGAAAATGGAGTAGTAGCAGAAGAAAATAAAAACACGAACATTAATTTGAATGGAGGTATAATTGAACATGTTTTGATTACGGATATCATTATAGTATTTTGGTACTTGTTGGGCATCTTATAAAACTTGTAACAACCATTGGCGTTAGATGAAACTATAAAACTGTCATAAAAGCTAACTTTCCTTATTGCAAACCAGATATAAATATGCTCTACCTTATAACAAAACCTTGAGCTACGAAAAATGTCAGCTGGGTTACGACTGAGGTTGCCAACGTAATTTTAGATAAATTTCAAGATCAAAAGAGAAAATAACAACACAGTATCCAGGCAAAAAATTTTCTGAAACCAGCAACGAAAGTTCGGCGCCACATATTTTTTTAAAAGCATATAGTACATTGATACTATTTATTACAGTACGGTTGGCAACACTAGTTATGACTGGCGTCTAACCTGGCGCAAGTGTTGTTTAATCCCATGGGTTTGTTCTTGTTCTGGTTCCAGTACACTATGGGCAAATTAGGCATCCGTTTTTGTATGTCCTCAATCAGATTGTCTTCCGACAAAGACGGACTTTTGTCGACTGACGGCTCCAAGTCGATGTTTTCGGTAGTCGAATCCGTATGTCTCGTCAATATATCTAACCTGAATTGGTATTTACTAAAATAAAACAGAAGTAGAAGTGAGAACCTAACCTTACCTTTTCTGTAGAATGTTCCTGTGAAGGTGCGACATGGGAACATCGAGCTTAATCTCTCGAAACTGGAAGACCGTGTAAATTAGCAGACACCACAGTACCAGCATGGTGAGTACTTTGGTGACGAACCGGCCGCCGCCATTTCCTAGGATAGGCATTGCCGTGCGGTAGGGCGCTGGAAAAGATAAGAGTGCGTTAGACAACAAATTAGGCAGTCGGGCCGTGCGTTCAATTTATCTTGGTAACATTTTAATTGGCTGTAACATTTTTGTTTTTACAGATATCAAGATAAACAAAAACACAAAATGTAGGGTTAGTAGCCATGTTGTTTTCCCAGCGACGTATAAAACAAAACACTATCAATTTTCTGACGTATAAACCTACATCATATTTTTTTAAATTGCATTTGCATATTATATATGTGTTTCATAGAATATCTTATTCCGATCACAATAATGCAACACGCTTTATATTTTAGTCCACTCGTCCACTCTGCTGTATGTGACCACCATTTTCCTGAACACATTTCTCATACACTCTTATTGTATGATGTCTTGCACTTAGTAACGTTTCCGGATTGTCTCTTAAATGATTGATTGCCTCTGAAATCCTTTGTCAAAGTTCCAGGACATTATTACAAGGAGTGTACGTGCACGTAATTTGGTATGTGTCTCCAAAAGAATAAAATCCATTAAAGTTAAGTCAGGGCTGTTGGCTGGCCAATCCATAGTTCCGCCGTTCTCCATCCAACCCCTTGGATATTCCATGTTAAGAAATTGTGAGGAGGGGCACCGTCTTGCTGCCATATAATCAGCGCTGATATATTTAGGGCTTAATTTAGGATCTATAAATATCGGACCCAAAATATGCCCATCTATGACACCACACCACCACCCCTGGGTTTTTATTTTTGTTCTTCTTCTTAAGGTGCCTTATCGAATTAGGAGATGTTGGCGACAATTCTGGCATACATTTGTCCAATCCCTTATGTTTTTTAGCCATGAGTGCGAATTTCGAAATATATGACCCAGATAGGCAGTTTTTTTTTTGTTGCCAACAATTCTCTTTCTCGGCCCATTCGATTTAATACTTTCTACATTTGTTGTGTGATTGGTCCACGGAATTTTGAGTAGTTTTCTAAATATCCACATTTCAAATCGATTTTCAATCGATTTCTACACCATCTAGCAATATGGATTAAATGTAACACTTTACAAAGCGATATCGAATCGTTAAGTCGGCTGTTGCTTAGCAAGGTTCTCACATTAACGAATGCTGTTCTGGTTTGCTAGATCCTGCTACGAATCTCTAAGCCTGGATCTAGATCTTCAGTTATCAGACTACCGAAATATCTGAACTTGGGAACCTTTTGGATGTTGTTGTTCTGCTAACCACCATTGCCTTCGTCTCGAGTTTCAATCCCAGTCGTTCTCCTTAAGTATTTATTCTATCTATTAGTCGTAGTTGGCTGTCGGCTATTATGACTGCATCATCAGCTTAGAGAGGATTATTAACAGTATGTCCGTTGGTTTTGATTCCATCTTCTTCTTCCTTCTTTATGATTTTAAGATCATTCTCATCTATCGAACATTCTTGGAGCACTCTTACTAATTCTGAATGGTTGACAAAGTTGAACGGCTTGTCGTAATCTATAAAGTATAGGAAGACATCTTTTTGCTGGTCTCTGCATTTCTGAAGTAGAGCAGTTAAGCTATAAAGTGCCAAAACCAACCAAAACCCTATCTGAAACCGAACCGTGTGGGGCTTATGTCTCTCTCACATCTAGGATTATTTATAGACTAATATCGCCAATTTTTTATATTATAACCCTTTCTTGTAATGAAAGAACTTTCATCAGTCCATAAAATGTTTTTCAAAAAGTTATTATTCTAATTATGTCTATTTAGAAAAATCCAAACTAAACTGCATCCTCCTTTGACATAGTTCTGCACTTGGTTTTTGAGTTTTACGAAATTTAAATGGATTAATATTTATAGTCTTTTAAAACTGAGTGGATTGATCACCGAAAAATACCTGTCTCTTCATATCCTCTAGTAATTATTCTATTATTATTCAGAAAGTATACTCGAAGTATATCACTCCTTTCATGGATGCTAAATTGACAAAAAACCATTTTAACAATAATGTTGTTTACTAATATATCAAACATAAACATATTTTTATTTGTCAGTCAGGGCACTCTTTGAAATGATATAAAAATAGATATATAAAGTATGTTATATCGTTGTAATCGGAGTAAGATATTCTATTAAACACATATATAATATACAGGGTGCTCCATTGAAAAAATATGATGTCAGAAAATCGATAGTTTTTGTTTTATACGTCACTTGGAAAAAAACTTGGCCACGAACCCTACATTTTGTTTTTTTTTGTTTACCTTGACATCTCTAAAAACAAACAAAAAAAAAAGAACGCGCCGTACAGTCATTTATCCAGTACATGTCTGGAAGTTAGTTCGTTTTTTGCAATCAGCACAATCGCCGCAGAATAAAGTGGCGTGCCATAATCCAAAACGGCGACAAGTAAAATATATATACATTGGGCAGTTAAATTGCGAAAAAAAAAACGGCATTTTTCGTAAACTAATTAAAACCAACATAATAGTAATCCGGCCAAACGCGATAAGCCACGTATTATTTGCTATTGCTTTTCGAAAATTTAAAGCGAGCGTGTATAATTGGGGGACCGATTACGTCACGAGAGGTAAACCGATATCGTAGAAATTACCCATTCGTTATGAATTTCGGCATTTTACTTACGTGTCCCGTAATATTTAACAAACATTAATATCCAATTTACGCGATTAGCTAGCAATGCGCAAAACCCATAACAATTTCGTTAATGTGGCCGTTATCCGACTCATTATTGCCGATATAACGTTTTACCATCTAACGGAACATTCAGCAAGCAAAAGTGCGCGTTAAAGAATTTGTGAGAATCGTTTAAACTTTAAATCGATTTCCGCCATCGAATGGACAAGAAATTTTTAACTCCAAGCTCATCGAAAGTAGTTGAAAGTTCAAGTAAGAAGGAAGGCTAAGGAATGGCTCATAAAATTTCGTAAAACGCCATCATCGGTATGATGAACTCCACGGAAAGCGACGGGATTTTTTTTGTACCTTTGCTATAGTCGCTAAGTACGGATCTGCGAGATGCAGCAAAATGTTTTATCTACTCCCTTCTGTCAAATCCTGTATTATATATCGATCTAGCGTGCGTGGAGTGTCTCTGGACCACGTGAGTTTCTTTATAGAATAGAATAGAATAGAACTTTATATATAGAACAGAATTTATTAGAAATTTGAAGCAATCGACTTCATATTTGGCACATACGTGTCGCAACCTATTCAAAATGGGTGGGCTAGGGGGTCGGGAAGTATTTAAAAAAAATAAAAATCGCGTGTTCAAGGGTCTACACCATTGGAAAAAATCGTATACCAGGAAACTAAGAAGATCCAGGGTTATATCCTCTATTCCGAACAAAAAATTCTAACAGATCCTAGAAATTTCCGCATTTGTGGATGAATTATTAAAGATACATGAAAAACTTTTAAAGATGTGATAATTTGATATGAACAGTATCGTAAACCGTGTCGAGAGAGAGAGAGTTTAAGGTTTCGTCTATAATACAGGGGACGCGAGATATTTGAATAAATATAATTTTAAATTGCAATTACCATTACAAATTTTAATATTTACCGAAGTGTGCCGTAACTTTGAAGTTCGACGAGATGTGAAGGACACTTTATACAGGATGTATTCGCAATCAAATTACATCAATTTTGCGAAAGTTCCATAGTGGTCCGCAGGAGCATGATAGAAAAACAATGCATCCCTCTGCTGGTTCGCGTTATTTGCGATGAACTCGCCCCGCTCATCGACGATTTTTCGAAAGCAATCTTTTTCATATACCTCCATTAAACTGTTGTATTGCCCCTATGTAATGTATAAGTTGGATATTGGTTCAATTATATAACCTCCATAATCAATTGTTGAGTTCGTCCAAAGGCTACTTTTTAAGTATGTTATGTTTAAAATTCGCTCTAATTACATTCGGATCTCGCACCGCTTAGACATTTTTCAGGTTTTGGATTTTGACATTTTGACAGTGCAGGTCGACCTGTGTAAAAACGTATTAAATAGACGGTTTCTCTTTTTATCCTTTCCACGGCTCTTGGGCATACTTTCGAGGACTTTTCTGGCTTAAAATCAAGATTGAAATAATACATTTCGGCGTATATTTTATACTTTGAACTTGCCCGCTTTGCCGACACATATTTAGACGCAAAACTACGTATCCAGGTCCATTTATCTTAATAGCCTCAACAAATTAGCATAAGGTTAAAGAAGTATGACGTTGTTATTCGTCATTTATACACATTGTTATGTAATAAAAAACATTAGTCTGCGTTTCGGTCAATTTAAACGAGGTTAAGAGACCGTAAAAGTCAGACACACGTTAGTATTAATAAAGTTGTTGGCGCGAGATATGAATAATAGTACGCGTAGATCAGACGAATTAAACTTAATTATAACACATTGACATTTCTCATTAAACTTTGTTTATGTGCACATTTTTGCATGGCATGTTGTGTCTAGGGTTACTTATAACTACATATGAGAGAACCGAAATGAAAGATTATTTTTTTAGAAAATTTTATGTTTCTTTTCGAATTCATGGGAATAAATTTTATCCAAAATTTGTATCGTCAATTGTATCAAAACACCTACTTTGAAATTCTTCAGTTATTCCGAGTCCAGTCCTGGAAAAATCTAAATGTTGCAGAAAGAAAGTCACTAAAAAATGACTACACGGACTCATTTCTATTTGAACTTTACATTTTAAATAAAAGTTTTATATTTTTATGGGAAAATTTTTAGTATACATATTATTTTGCCATTAAAGAAAAAACATTTTATTTCTTTTCTTTCCTATATACTAAAATGGGGACTGATGTTCCATTAGTAGCAGAAGCTGACAAGAAGGTACAGTTAAAGTGTTGTTCAGTTTTTGATGGGTTTACTGGGTATAGCTTATTACCCTTACAAATAAAGCTGGACCTTTGCTGTTTTCGTGACCCAAGGCTACTTTTTCATAAAACGAAAGCTTATACAAACTGAAATGTCATAGCTAACTGGGATTTTTAGATA